TTCACCGACTGGATGGATGTCCGACACCTTTGGCTGCAAAGGATGTAGTCAATCTGATTTCGGTGCTGACCACCATTTACACATGGTGAAGTCCATGTGTAAAGCCATCTTTTAGGTTGTTGGAAGAGAGTGTTTGTTATGCACAGCAAGTTTTCCTGGCAAAATTCTATCAGCCTGCGTCCCGCTTCATTTTGTTCTCCCAGACCATGCTTGCCTGTGATCGCTGTTGTCATTTGACTTCCCACCTTGGCATTCCAGTCTCCTGTAATGAAAATAATGTCTCTTTTTGGTGTATTATCCAGTAGGTCCTGCAGATCCTCATAGAACTGATCTACTTCTGCTTCTTCAGCAGCTGTGGTTGGGGCGTATATTTGGATCATGCTTGGGCTTGAAGTGTACAAAATGCCAACCTTCAATTGAACGTTTAGTCAATGAAAATCAGCAACAAAAAAAGTCACTAATAGGCAGCTTAGTTAAAGAATTTATCCTCCCATTATGCATTTTTGTTATTTAAACTATAAATATCGCAAAATTTTTCTCAAAGTGGCACCCCACCTGAATTATGCTCGGGTTTTTTTGGCAGATTTTGACACACCAACCTGAAAAGGTTGCCCATCACTTTATTACACTATACTATTACATAGATGTGGCCACCTCGATGAGAGATGATGTCCTGCAAAGAAGGGCTCCAGGTGCAGCTTCCCCTTTGGCTTGGACCCAATAGTAATAATAATAATAATAATAATAATAATAATAATAATAATAATAATTCTTTGCGAGGCATTTCAACATTAAAAAGGTGGGCATAAGATTGGAGTAAATAGGGGTAAATGATGCCCTTTCTCTGTCAGGACACGGCTGGGCAGGAGCGGTACCGGACCATCACCACCGCTTACTACCGCGGCGCCATGGGCTTCATCCTGATGTACGACATTACCAACGAGGAGTCTTTCAACGCCGTCCAGGACTGGTGAGTCTTCCTTTGAAGATCTGGGAAAAAAGAAAGAGAAAGGAAAAGAGAAGGTGTGAGGGGAGGGAAAGGAAAGAAAGAGAAAAAGAAGGGAAAGGATGAAAGGGGAAAGAAAGGAGAAAAGGAGGGAAAGAAAGGAAAGAAGAAAAGGTGTGNCTCATGACATCATTGAGGTGCTCAAGCTCCAGCGCCCCGACAAGGCGGTGATCCTTTGCTGGAGCCCACTGACAATACTTAGCAGCTTAACAGAGCAGGAAAGCTCTGCCTAATATTGTGAAGTAATTAGGAGAGCAGCTGGCATGCTCTTCCTGCTGGCAAATGTACTTTTTGGAAAACAGACAGTCACATTTTAGAGCAATGTATAATTTCAGAGCAGTGAGACAAATTTTAGATCTGTTACAATTTGAACTGGACAGCATAAACTGTACTGATTCTTGTAATGTAAATAAAAAATCAATCAGCTAAGTAGCACTTAAACAAGTCCCCACAAAACAACCACTGAACATCAAAAGGCCACTTCTTAAAATCCTAGATAAGGTCTTAGCAGTGCAAAATACTATTCAATACAATACTACTCTGTACATGTCCACTGCATGCTCAGTTTGTGTTGAAATGGGACTTCCTATCATATAAACAGCCATAAAATAAAGCCTGAACCCCATCTTTATGTTAAAACAGTACTAGTTTGCTTAAAGGATATATAATGTTGGGTTTGAAATCAAAGTGCAGATTCTAAAAGAACACCCATTACATTATATGCAATTTCCCCCCCCATTTGCTTTCCCTTATTTCGGGCTGAATCAGAATACAATATATAAAACTAGCAACACAATCTTTCTTCCAATTCAGAGTTAGAAGCTGCTTGTTTTAAAAAAACAGTAATAAAATATGTTTCATCATGAGTTTGCTACCTTATAGACCTTGGTTTCTGCCTTGTGTTTTTGGGAAGATGGTATCTAAGAAACTGCAAACATTGCAAAACCTGCAAAACATTTGAATGCCTAGGTGTGGGACTCAAAGAGCAATTTGCATAGGAGATTAGAGCTCCTTATTAGAATTAGTGTGGTTTCTAAAATCAGTTTTGACTGTTTCTGTAATGAAATTCTCTGACCTTCAATTTCAGACATTAGAAGATATGGTAGTTAAAGCAAATTGGACCAACTGGCTATATTCCAAGAATACATGGCAACCCATTCTCCAACATTTTAGTGATCACGAAATCTTCCCTTGTAGTAGAAACCTCAGATCACAGTATTCTCATTGAGAGGAGCAAAGGTGATGGGAATGACAAGAGAAAAGCATTTTCTTTGGATACACAGGTCAGACAACCCTTTTTAAGCCAACTGAAAGAGACTTCCAATTTTTGAACATAGTTGAACTCCAATATACGCTAGTTTTGTCTCTTGGATAGAAGGAAAAGTCAGGGGAGCTAAAGAGAAATGTCTTGTGTGGCTGGCAGTCAAAAAGAAGCTTCTGACCTTCCACCGTAGCCCAACGTCCCTCCCAGCAATATCTCTGGATTACAGAACATGAATCCTTCTTCCCACAGGAATATATGGGCAGTCAAGTGAGTGATGTGAGGACAAGCAACAGCTCTCATGTGCATTCAAAACCGAATCAGTTTAATAAGAATATGGGTTTTGCACTTCTCCAGTATCACAAGTTCCGCATTGTCTAATAAATACAAAGCAATCTTTGACAGAACACAAAATATTGATTTTGAAAATAATTTGAAAGACAGAAAAACACAAATACAGAACTTCAGCTACTACTCTTTAGCAGTTGTTTGTAAAGAAATACCTCCCCACCACAATGCAATCAAGTCTTCCTTCTGGGAGAAAGGAAGAGCTACACTGGTCCAGTGCCAGAGGAATGAGATTGCTATTTAGAAACATGAGGGTTTTTTTTTTTCTGTTCCTGAGCCTGCACAGGAGTTGGGAGGTCAGGGGGAAGGAAGCAGGCAAGACAATCAAACAGGGGCAGAGAAGAGATCTACTTTTTGAGCATCAACAGTGAAACAGTATGCCTACCAGCAATGGAATGAACAAACTGCCTTCATTATCCAGTTATTAAAGCATCCAACTTCTACTAGTCTAGGTTGTATTAATCGAACCAGAGCAAGACATATTTCATCTACAGATTTACAACTCACTTGATGGGTTGAACACATGCTATTTAACAGCACATACAGCTGACCATAATAGTAATTATTATGAGTTCTACGTATTCAACAGCCTAGGCACTGCTGCATGCACATGGTTCTATGAACTCTTCACCTAAGCAAGACAGGTTTGGCTCCAGTACTGTTTCAGAAGACCACAGCTACTTATTGCACCACAGAACTGGCTAGGCCAACTTTCATGCTTGCACATTTAACCAAACACTTACTTCATAAATCACCACATAACTAGATGTTTTATTTTTGTATAAATTACTTTCGTTCTTAAAAAAAAAACCCTCCTTCAATCTCCCAAACATTAATCCACAAAGGATTACAAATAACCCGATGCCATGCTTGCATTCTATTTTCTGAAGTGAAATTTGGAACAAAAAACACTACATAATTTAAAGTGCAAACTGGGGTTCAAATGCTAAAGTTCAGCCACCATCAATGGCTCTACAACAGAATGAAAATCCAAGGAGTCAGGGAGAGAGGGAGAAATAGTACAATTCTTTACTGTTCTAAACAGCCAGCAAGTACCTCCTATCTAATATTATTTAGGGCTGGAGGCTGCTCCGAGTCCCCATTGGGGAGTCGGTGGCGGGGTATAAATAAAGTTTAATATTTATTATTATTATTATATTATTTAGGCTGAAAAGGACAAAAGCTTATACTAAAATACTTTAAGTCATTGTAGCTCCTCTGATATCCAAAGGACCAAAATAGACCTAAATTCATGGGCTCTTGCTTCCACTTGGCTAGCAGCTAAGCTGTTAAGACACACTCAGAAGATCCAAATTTATCACTTCAAGGCAAGGTTTCTTCTCTGCCACCTCCCAGTGGTCAAAACATTACTGATTCATGGCATGCATACCAATCCCATTGTCTCTCTGGCAGGTCTTACAAGTTTTGTGTTTTGAAAAACAATCCTGAAAGATATGTTGTCGAAGGCTTTCATGGCTGGAACCACTAGGTTACTGTGAGTTTTCTGGGCATGTTTGAGAAGCATTCTCTCTGGACGTTTCACCCACATCTATGACAGGCACACCCAGAAGTTGTGAGGTCACCTCCCAACCTCCGAGGATGCCTGCCATAGATGTGGGCAAAATGTCAGGAGAGAATGCTTCTCAAACAAGGCCAGACAGCCCGGAAAACTCTCAGCAACCTGACCCTGAAAGACTTGTTCAATCAGAGGTGACAGTAAGACAACACAGGCATGTGTATAGTCTTGCAACTTATAAGCCATTGTTTGCCATGATAACTTGTTGTTTTTATAACCATATTTTTAAGAGCAGCTTTGTAATAACAACAAAAATTAATATATAAGCAATGGGGTTCCAAAACAAATACAACACAAACTACAGTGGGGAGAAATAGCACATGAAGCTAATGCTTTCTGAGCAAGACAAATTCCTCTTTTTACACTGAAAATTTCCTAGCAGCTTCCCACCCCAACCCGCTTCCTTTATACTTCACTTTGTGATCACATTGAATGGGGATGTGCAGCAATATCAGGTAGATAAATCCATCACCACCTCGATCTCTGGGACAGTCACTTTACGAAACCAGACCGGATCTTTGTGCAAAACAACAAAGCAATCACAAGGTAACACCTTTTCCCTCCAAAGCACCTGCAGACAGGGTATGGGCAAGCTCCACTGTCCCAAACACTCCAACCAGAATCCCTTGACATTCCCAGTGTAGACCTTGAAGCTTCTGGCGTGCTTCACGATCCTTGAAGAGAGTCTCATTGATTTCAGTTTATTGGGGGGGAAATAAAGATGAAGGAATCATTCTTCTAGTTTAAAAAAAAAAAACCTTCACTCACAAACTAACAATAACAACAAAAAATACCCCAGGGTGTTCTTCCTTTGCCACTCCTCTCTTCTAGGGAAAATAAAAGGGATTTAAGGGAGGGAGGAAAGAAACTCCTCATTGCACAGATGCTATAGATCTGGCACGGGCAAACTTCAGCCCTCCAGGTGTTTTGGACTTCAACTCCCACAATTCCTAACAGCCTGTCGGTGTTTTGGCTGACAACTCTCAGAAATCCCAGCCAGTTTACCAGTTAGGATTTCTGGGAGTTGAAGACCAAAACATCTGGGACCTACAGGTTGAGAACCACTGGGTTAAAGGATTTTTGGAGGGTGGGGGGAAGATTGGTCAATTTGCAGGACACTAGGTGGCAGCCAGGCCCCAAAGCAGATGCCCTTTCAGTGACATAGAAAAGAAGCAAGATGACTCTTCCCACAATAATCTCTGCCACAATGGAGAATGTTTACTAGAGTGCTGAAGCTAGGCTAGAGGGATGTGGAGGAAAGGGGAAAATCAATTGGCAGGGCAACTAAGTGGCAGCCAGGCTCCTTTCGGTGACAGGGAAAAGGAGGAAGGTGAGGCTTCCCACAATAATGCCAGGAGATGGGAATGCAAAGATCTAAACCAGGCATGAGCAAACTTTGGCTCTCCAGGTGTTTTGGACTCTAGCTCCCACAATTCCTAACAGCCTACTGGCTGTTAGGAATTGTGGGAGTTGTAGTCCAAAACACCTGGAGAGACAAATTTTGCCCATGCCTGCTTTAGATTAAGCCGCTTCCAAGGCAAGAGATGTCAGGCTAAAGAAGTGATTCTTAACCTGTGGATCCCCAAGTGTTTTGGCCTACAACTCCCAGAAATCCCAGCCAGTTTGCCAGCTGTTAGGAATTGTGGGAGTTGTAGTCCAAAACACCTGGAGGGACAAACTTTGCCCATGCCTGCTGTAGATTAAGCTGCTTCCAAGGCAAGAGATTTCAGGCTGAATCGGTGGCTCTCAACCTGTGGGTCCTCAGGTGTTTTGGCCTACAACTCCCAGAAATCCAGTTTACCAGCTGTTAGGATTTCCTACCGGCTGTTAGGAATTGTGGGAGCTGGAGTCCAAAACACCTGGAGGGCCAAAGTTTACCCGTGCCTGCTGTAGATTATGCCGCTCCCAAGGCAAGAGATTTCAGGCTAAAACAATTATTCTTAACCTGTGGGTCCCCAAGTGTTTTGGCTACAACTCCCAGAAATCCAAGTCAGTTTGCCAGCTGTTAGGATTTCCTACTGGCTGTTAGGAATTGTGGGAGGTGGAGTCCAAAACACCTGGAGGGCCAAAGGTTGCCCATGACTGCTGGAGATTATGCAATTTCCAAGGAAAAATATTTCAGGCTAAAGCAGTGGTTCTCAATCTGTGGATCCCCAGGTGTTTTGGCCTACAACTCCCAGCCAGTTTACCAGCTGTTAGGATTTTGTACTGGCTGTTAGGAATTGTGGGAGTTGGAGGGCCAAAGTTTGCTCATGCCTGCTGTAGATTAAGCCACTTCCAAGGCATGAGATTCCAGGTTAAAGCCGTGATTCTTAACCTGTGGGTCCCCAGGTGTTTTGGCCTACAACTCCCAGAATTTTTACTAGCTGTTAGGATTTCCTACAGGCTGTTAGGACTTGAGGGAGGTGAAGTCCAAAACACTCGGAGGGCTGAAGTTTGCCCATGCCTTGTCTAAACTAAAAGAGGGGGAGGGATTCAAGCCTCTTGGAACGACCAGATGGAAGGACTAGGAGGGCAGAGAACCCTTTGTTGACATGGGAAATGAGGGGGATGGCTCTTCATCTCACACAGAGAGGGAATACTAGAGTGCTGAATGGAGCCGCTTGGCCCAAGAGTGCTGAGGGGACCAGGGCTGGGAGGGCAGAGGAGGCGGGCAGAGCACCAGGGAGGAGGAGGAGGGGGCCAAGAGGATGGGGCAGAGGGGCCCCCCAGGGTGAAGGCGAGGGCCCAGTGTCCGGATGCCGCGGGCTTTCCCTGCCCTGGCGGCCGGGCTCACTTCTTGGAGCTCTGGGTCTTCTTGGGGAGGAGCACGGCCTGGATGTTGGGCAGGACGCCTCCCTGGGCGATGGTGACGCCGCCCAGCAGCTTGTTGAGCTCCTCGTCGTTGCGGATGGCGAGCTGGAGGTGGCGCGGGATGATGCGGGTCTTCTTGTTGTCCCGGGCCGCGTTGCCGGCCAGCTCCAGGATCTCGGCCGAGAGGTACTCCAGCACGGCGGCCAGGTAGACGGGGGCCCCGGCGCCCACCCGCTCCGCGTAGTTGCCCTTCCGCAGGAGCCGGTGCACGCGCCCCACCGGGAACTGCAGCCCGGCCCGCGAGGAGCGCGACTTGGCCTTGGCGCGGGCCTTGCCGCCGGATTTGCCCCGGCCGGACATGGCGGAGAGAAGAGCCTGCGAAACGGGGGGGAGGGGGGGGGCGACAAGGCGTTAGTATACGTTCGCCACACAGACCACCCTCTCCTCTCTCTCTCTCTCTCTCTCGCTCTTGTCTCACCCTCAGCCGCTACTTCTCCGCAACCTCCCCCTTCGAGCGCCGCCGCTGCAATGACAACAAGCGCGAGCGGCTGAGGGGATATAAATCCAAGCCCGACCCGTCGGCGGCTCCCGATTGGTGGCGGCAGGAGCGGCGCCGGGCTCTCATTGGTGGGTATTCCGATCCTTGATTTGCATAGGAGGCTCGCGGCGTCCATGTTCGGACTCGGGTGGAGGGAGAGAGGGAGGGGCTGCTGGTGCTGCTGGTGAATCTCAATGCCAAGGAGAGAGAGAGAGAGAGAGAGAGAGAGAGGCAGGGGTTGGCTTCCACCTCCTTGGGCGCTTAGGGACAAAAGAAGCCGGGCCCTCCTCTTAGGCTGCTGGAACCCTGGGCTGGCTCTCCGTGGGACACACTGCAAGTCACTTCAGTAGCAAAATTAGAGTTATGGAAGTAGCAACGAAAATAAACGTATGGTTGGGGGTCACCACAACATGAGAAAATGTATTAAGGGGAACTTAATACACTTCCTCATGTTGTGGTGACCCCCAACCATACATTTATTTCCGTTGCTACTTCCATAACTCTAATTTTGCTAATGTTATGGATTGCAATGTAAATATCTGGCATGCATTTTCATTCATTGGATCAAATTTGGCACAAATACCTGGTACGCCCAAATCTGAATACTAGTGGGGTGGGGGGGGGGGGTTGATTTTGTCATTTGTGAGTTGTAGTTGCTGGGATTTGTAGTTCACTTGCAATCAAAGAGCTTTCTGAACTCCACCAGCGATGGAACTGAACCAAACTTGGCACACAGAACTCCCATGGTCAAGAGAAAATGTTGGAAGGGTTCAGTGGGCATTGACCTTGTATTCGGGCTCGGCCTCTTGTAAGCCACACCGAGTCCTTCAGGAGATGGTAGCGGGGTACAAATAAAGGTTTATTATTATTATTATTGACCTTGTGTTTTGGAGTTGTAGTTCGCCTGCATCCAGAGAGCAATGTAGACTCAAACAATGATAGATCTGGACCAAACTTGGCACGAATACTCAATATGCCCAAATGGGAACACTGGTGGAGTTTGGGCGAAAATATACTTTGACATTTGAGAGTTGCAGTTGTTGGGATTTATAGTTCACCTACAATCAAAGAGCGTTCTGAACCCCACTAATTGGGCCAAACATCCCACACAGAACCCCCATGGCCAACAGAAAATACTGTGTATTCTGATGGCTGTTGGTGACCCATTTGACACCCCCTCCCCAAGACTCCCCAGTGGTCTCGACCTCCAGGTTGAGAAATGGGAGCTGTCAGGGGCAAAGGGTGTGCCAGGCATTGGGAAACTTTGGCCCTCCAGGTGTTTTGGACTTCAACTCTCACAATTCCTAATAGCCGATAGGCTGTTAGGAATTGTGGGAGTTGAATTACAAAACACTTGGAGGGCCAAAGTCAACCCATGCCTGATCTACACTGTAGAATGAATGCAATATGACATCGCTTTAACTACCACGGCTCAAGGCTATGAGACCCTGGAAGTTGTACTTCCATCTCTGCCCAAGTGCTGCTGCCTCAGCAAACTACAACTCACAGGATTCCATTGTCTTGAGCCATGGCAATTTAAGTTCATTAATTCTACAGTGCATTCATTCCACAGCGCAGATGCACCTTAATACCATAATAGTGAAGCTGTTGACACTGATATTTAACTCGTGCACGCTTTTTTTGTGAGGAGTGACTTGAGAAACTGCAAGTCACTTCTGATGTGACAGAATTGGCCGTCTGCAAGGACGTTGCCCAGGGGACGCCCTGATGTTTTACCATCCTGTGGGAGGTTTCTTTCATGTCCCGCATGGAAGCTGGAACTGACAGATGGAGTTCACTCCACTCCCTGGATTCGAACCACCAACCTTTTGGTCAGCAGTCTTGCTAGCACAAGGGTTTAACCCATTGTGCCACTGGGGGCTCCACATGTGCATACCTCATGGTTGTTAAATCTATAGGCATCCATCCAGTGACAAAAAGTAGCCCCGATAGTTAGGCCCCTTGATTTATGTAGTGCCTGCAAGTCTTTCTTCCAAAGGGCACTTCTTACTTATTTATAGGTCCTCACTGCTGAGAGTTTCTGTCTTTCTCTTCTCTCTCTGGAAGCCAAATGTGCTCTGGTGTCTTATGGCCCGGATACCAAAGAACCGGGCAGGTGACCAGCAGCCTACCAGCTTGGGTGGAAAGGTCAGCCCAGTTCGAGTAACACAACTGAGAAGAGGCAGACCCAGTTGACAAGGATATACACTGGCCAATACACATTCTGGGTATATTTTACCTGCTGATGTTGGAAATAGCAACCTTCTTCAAGCTTCCACTAGTTATTTGTTATGTAACTAATTCAGATTGCTTACTGTATTGTATATGTGTGTGTTGGTATGCAGTTTTCCTTAACTCTTTGCAGACTATGTGATCAGATTGGGACTTGTTCAGTTCAGATTCCATTTTAGGTCTCAGACTCCATTGGATTTTCAGACTAGACAGAGACTCTATTAAACTCTCAGAACAGAGAGATGCTTTGGACTTGGACTGTTGATTATAATCAAGATGCCCTGTGTTACCTACACAGAGAAACTACTTCAAATCTTATTTGTAACTGGATTGATAAGCAAAGTACAAAGCATATCTTTGTTCCTAACAGTTCAAAGAGATATCTAGGTATATCAGTTTAACAGCTGAGAAACCTAATTGCCTTGCATGAATACTAGTGGATATTTACCACTAAGGAAAAGGTTGACTGAAGCGCGTTTTTAAATCTTTTCAGGGAGATTCCAGATTTCCCAAAATGGCGGTGAATGCCATTTTTCAAAAGGTCATGGAGATTTCCATTTCTCAAAAGGTTATGGCATCATTTCCCCAAAAAGTTATGATTTCTAACAAGGTCATGCCTTTCCAGAGCATGATTTCTCCAAAAGCTGATTCCAAAATAGCACATCTCCCCCTATCAGTTCTAGTTTTTGAGATACAGAATATATTACATATACCATAGAAAACCATGATAACCATGTCTAAGAAACTAGAGCTGATGCAGTCTGTCCAATGCAATTATCTGAATCAGTGCCCCCAAATAACCCCAAGAGCAGGCTTAAAAACCAAGACACCAAGATATTTTTGTTGTTGGGCTGTTTAATTTTTAAAAATTGTCATTTTTATGAGTGTATGTTTAAATTGCTTTTTGATTCAATAGCTCTTGAATATTATCAGTTGCTTAACTGAGTTTCAACATTGTAACACTAGAATGAGGCAGACCAAGTTAACAAGAATATTATCAAGCATGGCTTTTCAGGAAATAATGTTTTAAATGGTAGCGGCAAAAATTCATGACAGTGAATTTCTGTATCCATGGATTTGACCTTTGGAGGCTTGGAAATATGAAAAAGGATATCCAAAAGGCAAACCTTGTTTTTTTTTGTTTTTTTTTTTTGCCATTGTATAAAGGGACACTGTTTTATTTTGCCATTGCACATAAATGGAATTTGAGCAACCACAAAACTTGGTATCCACAGGGCGTGGTGATGGTCCTGGAAACAAACCACAGCAGATATGAGGACTCATAGTAACTGCATGTATCCAGCTACACTTATAGGTATAGATGTGGGACCTCATTAAATGGTAAAGGAGGAATGTCACAGGGTACAATATTACTTCTCTGTCAAGTGTTGAGGCAACATGTGAACAATGAGCACACAAGAGCAAGGCTCAGATTTGTATTTCCTAAATGGTTGCCAAATAAATTAGGAAACTCATCTTGAAATTGTGACTCTTTACAATTTGTGACCCTGGGTCTTAGAACTAGAACATTTTTTTGAAAAAACATAAAACACTGCAAATAAACTTTTGCCGATAACAGCTCAGTAAAATATTATTTCCAGTCTACAGATGGCAACCTGAGACAGCAGCTTGTCTTCGGGGCTCTGAAGTGAGCCCACAAAATCTGAACCAATCAGTACTCACATCTCACGCCTTATTGCTACACTTAGTTTTCATGGGAAAGGTATTGCTTTTGAACAGACTGCTCTTGATTTTGAGCCTAGTGAGGGAGCCTTCAACATTTTGTATGTAATGCTACCGCTTTCTGCGATGTACTGAATCATGGAGTTAAGTTTTTTGGCTGCTGGGCCAAGCAAGCTATTGACATTTTCCAGATGAGTAGCTCTGCTGAATGGGGTGTTGTTGCCTTAAGACTAACAAGATTTATTACAGCACAAATGTTACAGAAACACATCCAGGTCATGACAGGAATATATATATATTACAGTGAACAAAAACTGAACAAAATGATGGAATAAATCTTGGCCGTTTTTACTTTTAGGGTACCCAGTACTGAGTGAGAAACGAAATCAGCTAAATGCTTTTATTTTGTACAACCATCACTAATTAATGCTCCCCAGATGGTTTTTAAAATCTGAACTCAAGTTTTTTATAACACTTCTTCCTGCTTATTTAAAAAGTACAACTAAAAATGACACCTCTGCTTAATTTTTTCCTGGTAACTTAGTTTTAAAGACAAATATTTTCCAACAAAACAGAATCTCAAAGAAACTCTAACCCGCAGAAAAATATTGTTTTTCAAAATAAGAATTCTAAAACATTTGTAATTTCTCTTCAGATTATCTGATTTGACAGGGAGGCTATAAAATAGATGAGCTACAGTTATCTGGCTTTCTTCCCTTCTCCATATAGGTTGTTGCTGATTTGTTCAGTAGCTTCCAAATCTTTATGACCACATGGACCAGCCCACGCCAGAGCTCCCTGCCAGCGGTGGCCACCCCCAGCTCCTTCAAGGTCAAGCCAGTCACTTCAAGGATACCATCCAGCCATCTTGCTCTTGGTCTGACCCTCTTCCTTTTTCCTTCCATTTCCCCCAGCATCATTATCTTCTCCAAGCTTTCCTGTCTTCTCATGATGTGGCCAAAGTACTTCATCTTTGCCTCCAGTAAGCAGCGGGCATTATTTCCTGGAGTGTGGACTGGTTGGGTCTTGCGATCCAAGGCACTCTCAGAATTTTCCTCCAACACCACAGTTCAAAAGTGTCTCTCTTCCTTCACTCAGCCTTCCTTATGGTCCAGCACTCACATCCGTAGGTTGCTGTGGGGAATACCACTGCTTTAACTATGCAGATATTCGGTGCCAGAGTGATGTCTCTTCACTATTTTATTAAGATTGGTCATTGCTCTTCTCCCAAGAAGTAAGTGTTTTCTGATTTCTTGGCTGCAGTCTGATCTGCAGTAATCTTTGCATCTAGGAATACAAAGTCTGTCACGGCCTCCACGTTTTCTTCCTCTATTTGCCATTTAAAAATCAGTCTAGTTGCCAGAATCTTGGTTTTTTTGATGGTTAACTGCAACCCAGCTTTTGCACTTTCTTCCTTCACCTTGGTTAGAAGGCTCCTCAGCTCCTCCTTGCTTTCAGTCATCAAAGTGGTATCATTTGCATATGTAAGGTTGTTAATGTTTCATCCAGCAATTTGAACTCCAGCCTTGGATTCATCAAACCCTTCACATCACCCTGCACATTGCATGTGTTCTGCAGAAGTTTGTGATCTGAACTACAGTTGGCTCCAGGTCTTGTTTTCACTGACAGGATGGATGTCCGCCACCTTTGGCTGTAAATGATGTAGTCAATCTGATTTTGGTGTTGACCATCCAGTTGTTGGAAGAGAATTTTTGTTATGCACAGTGAGTTTTCTGCATATATAGAAACAATCAAATTAACAACCTGAAAGGTAGATATTTTCCCTCTTATTGCCAAAACATCTAACATCTATTTCAGTGATGATAATCGCATTAAGAATAGGTCTGATGACTAAAAAGCAAGCTGACTTCCTTAGTTTTCCAATGGTACAAGCACAAAAAAGTTTTACCACTCCAATTCTTTATCACTGTTGGTTTAGTACCTCCAGGTCAGGCATGTAGCGGGGGGAGGGGGGGGCTTGAGGGGCTTCAGCCCCCCCGCCCGAAATTCTCATGGTGGTTCACAAAAAGGCCTTACTGGTGCATTATTTAAACTGTTATGTTTATTCATATCATGATCTGATCACCATACTCAATATATCTCATATGCATGGGGGTATTGGGGTAACGATACAAAAGGTTTGCTAGGGTAGACCCTCTTTCACTCAGACTCAGCCCCCCCCCCCCGAATCGAAATCCTGGCTACGGGCCTGCTCCAGGTGTTTTGGACTTCCAACTCCCACAATCCCTCACAGCCTCAGGCCCTTTCCTTTTCCCCCTCAGCTGCTTAAGCACATTAGAAGAGACTCAAGGGTTCTGTTTGGTATATATTTGCCTTTCCTAAGAGGAGAAGGAAATTTGACTTGTATTTTTCTCTTTCTTACATATTTGGTGTAAAGCTGCTTTTGCAAGGTTTGGGGAAAATCTCAGTGCTGCACATAAAATCCACACTCTTTTGTGCCAGAAAGAAAATGCTAAATAATAATAATAACAATAATAAAAATACTTTATTTGTAAATGTCAAGGCTAACCTGTTTGACATCAGCGAAAAGTAAGAAATCCCTACACCAGATACTCAAATCAGTAAAAACTGACACATGTAAAGATTCTGTCCAGTAAGAACATATCTAATGTGCTGGGGTGGGGGGAGGGTGTCTGTTATTTTGCTCCTGAATACAAGGAATGGATAAATAAGTCACAGAAATTTGGACTGCTTTGGTGAAGGTCCTCTGTCTTCCTTTTTGAGCCACTGGTCCATGAAGCTTGTACTTGTCCTTTTAGCTGGCGTTTGGATGAACTGACTGGACCATCTTGGTAAATCACCTTCTTTCTCCTCTTCCTTCTTGGGAGATTTGTTTTTTAACCAGTTCAGCATCATTTTGCTGCTTGCACTAACTTTGGTTTCCTGGAACACACAAAATTGGGGGGGAGAGTGTATTTTTTTCTAAAACAAATTACATACATTGAAAAGGATTAAAACTGGTTAAGTGTTGTCTTCAAAAGAATAAACTTTAAAATGATGCTTCTCCCGTTACAGAACGGAACCTGCAACCTTGAAATCTTTTCAAATAATCCAGAAAAGTCTGACAAATATTGGTAAAAAGAACAATCTCTCTTGGTACCAGGTGATCAACACACATGCAGCTTAGGAAACATGTTGAGTCAGCATGTGAACCGGGGAGTGAAAGTGATGAGCCTGGGAAAAATCAGAGGCCCCAATCACATGATGAGTCTCAGTAATGGACACTCTCCTATTCAGACCTGTCAGTTGCCATGTAAAAAGAACAACAGAACAGGAGACCGGGGGGTGCGGTGAGGCCAGCATACACTCATTTACATTTTATTGTATTAATATGCTTCCTAATCCCTTGAACAGATATTATGTGGTTTGTGTTTGTTTCCTAATAAATCTGCAATATGAACACAATTACTGTTTCATAAAGAAACTGAAATGATAACATGAAATTATTAGATGAAATATTAAAACGCTATAGATATCTCCATGCAGTTGCTCCATACAGTCATGCCAGCGACATGACCTTGGAAGTGTCTATGGACAATGCCAGCTCTTTGGCTTGGAAATGGAGATGAGCACCAACCCCCCCAGAGTCAGACATGACTAGACTTAATGTCAGAGGAAAACCTTTACTATAGATATCTCATGACACAAATGTGTTGGAAAAGTGTTACCAGACTGTACCTTTTTCACATCCAGATCAATGGGTACAATACATTCTGGGGAATTGTTTCGTGAATTGTTCACTACGGTTGACACTGGATGAAAGGCAAGATTTTCTGTGGGGTGGATAACCTTCAGTGCTTCTTGTGTGGGTATTTCTGCAAAGTCCAACCATTTACTAACAGCATCATCCCCATCCAGGATAGCTGGCATCCTAAACAAATAAAAATGGGCCGGGCTTTAGCACAGCAGGTGAAATCAGCTGCAGTAAATCTTATCTGTCAAAAGGCTGCCAGTTTGAAGCCCGGGTCAGGGTGAGCTCCTGGCCTTTAACCCAGCTTCTGACTATCTAGTGGTCTGAAAGCAAATGTGAATAGACAAATAGGTACTGCTTAAAAGTGGGGAGGTATTCTGAGGCACCCATAAGGAATGTCGGTGATTCGATCAAAAAGCAGAAGTTATGAAGAAAGCTCTTTGTCAGGGAGCTGGAGCAACAACTCCCACCCCCACCTCCCCGTGGCAGGTACCGAGCACAAAGTCTCCAAGATGCCGAAGATGGGAAAGCCAAATATATATACCTCTATAGAAAATGATCTTTACCTAGATCCTTAACACAATATGCTCTTCAACAAACTATTTATTTACTCTCCCTTGCCTGTTATGGATGGAGCTTACAGCTTTAGAAGCATCTACTGTGATGACGGTGTAGCTGTATAGTGTTTCTCCTCCATTTGGAGGATCCCAGCAATCGAAAATGCCAGCCATGGTGAGTAGCCTCTTATCCTCCTTCAGATCTTCCTCCTCCGCATCAGATTTGATAAACTGCCAAATTAAGACATAACGTAATTAAAAACTACACTTACAATGCCCCTTAAGCACCATCTCTTTGAACAACTACCCACAATAGATTATCTGTTTCACTGGGTCTGAGCTCCAGGTTGTTAGTCCTCATCTACTGTGTTACCACCACCTTGAAGCCACAATATCTGAAATCTATATAAATAAAAATGCAATGTTCGGTTTAACAGAACTCAAAAACCACTGGACGAATTGACACCAAATTTGGACACAATACACCTAACAACCCAATGTATGTCCTTCACTCAAAAAACTTGCTTTTGTCATTCGGGAGTTGTAGTTGCTGGGATTTATAGTTCACCTACAATCAAAAAGCATTCTGAACCCCACCAACGATGGAATTGAACCAAACTTGGCACACAGTTCTCCCGTGACCAACAGAAAATTCTGGAAGGGTTTGGTGGGCAGTGTCCTTTGGTTTTGGAGTTGTAGTTCACCTAATCCAGAGATCACTGTGCACTCAAACAATGATGGATCTGGACCAAACTCTACACGAATACTCAATATGCCCAAATGTGAACACTGGTGGAGTTTGAGGAAAATAGAATCTTGACATTTGGGAGTTGTAGTTGCTGGGATTTGTAGTTCACCTACAATCACAGAGCATTCTGAACCCCACCAACGATAGAATTGGGCCCAACTTCCCACACAGAATCCCCATGTGGGCCACAGCAACGCGTGGCAGGGGACAGGTAGTCTATCATATAATCCAAGACATGATGGTGCACATTGTATATGGAGCTGAGTCCAGACCAAGCCTAACACCAGTTATGTCCTCTTTAAGCAGCTGAGAGGCACTCCCACCATGCCAACTGCTAGTGCTCTGGCCTTGGAGGGAGAGAAGAAGAGGCAAGCAGAGCTTCATCATGTGTGGGCCTAGATACATATGAAAGGCCCTTCCTCCACCCCAACTACCACTACCTTGGCCTCAGAGAGGGAGGAGAGGCAGTATCTGCTGCATCCTTCCCCATTGCCACCCTCTTTCTTTTGCATTTAGATTATAAAGCATGCATGGGCAAACTTGGGACCTCCAGGTGTTTTGGACTTCAACTCCCACAATTCCTAACAGCCTCAGGCCCCTTCCTTTTCCCCCTCAGCTGCTTAAGCGGCTTAAGTGGCTGAGGGGGAAAAGGAAGGGGCCTGAGGCTGTTAGGAATTGTGGGAGTTGAAGTCCAAAACACCTGGAGGTCCCAAGTTTGCCCATGCCTGTTGTAGAGCCTGAGCAAAGGGAAGTATTTTTATTGTCCTTTTTTCTTGTAAAGCATCATGTTTTTTTAAAAAAGGTCCTATGCCCTTTATATGTTTGGGGCTGTTTCCAGCTGTTTGGAGGCAAAGTTACAGGCTACGCGCATGCATCCATCGTATCCCCTCTGCTCACATTACAGCCTTTCAATTAAGTTGTTCCTGTTGCTTTGCTGCATGGAGGACGATGCCCCAGGGCTAGCATTACTCCTAGCTCATATTGCAACAGTAGAAGGCAAGCAGTACTAAAAGGACAAATAATGAAAGCATCGTGCTTCTCCATCTCCTCTGGCAAGCTTGGCAATCACATTGCTAACTTAATCTCCTTTTCTAAACGAGTAGCTGTTGCCACACAAGACTTCAGGAGAGAGCCAGACACAAGTAGATGTATCTGACTGAGTATGTCTTTTTAGATAATTTATACCCTTCTCACAATACTTGTATGAATGCTATACAGACAGACCTTGCCAATAATGCATTTAAATATCTGCTTAATCACATGCAGCAGAATCATAAAGGCCAAACTTTCTGAAGCATTGGGTTGCTGTGAGTTTTCCAGGCTGTATGGCCATGTTTCAGAAGCATTCTCTCCTGACATTTCACCCACATCTATGGCAGGCATCCTTAGAGGTTGTGAGGTATATTAGAAACTGAGCAAGGAAGGTTTATATAACACTGGAACGTCCAGGGTGGGAGAAAGAACTCTTGTCTTTTTGATGCAAGTGTGAATGCTGCAGTTTTTTTTTTGTCGTGTCAGAAGAGACTTGAGAAACTGCAAGTCGTTTCTGGTGTGAGAGAACTGGCTGTCTGCAAGGACGTTGCCCAGGGGACGCCAGGATGTTTTGATCTTTTACCATCCTTGTGGGAGGCTTCTCTCATGTCCCCGCATGAGCTGGAGCTGACAGAGGGAGCTCATCTGCGCTCTCCCCGGATTCGAACCTGCGACCTGTGGGTCTTCAGTCCTGCCGGCACAGGGGTTTAACCCTCTGTGCCACCAGGGGCTCCTAATGCTGCAGTTGATCACCTTGATGAGCATTGGAATAGCCTTCCAGCTTCAATACTTGGCTGCTTTCTGCCTGGGAGAATCCTTTGTTCAGAGGTCCAGCATTTTAGTGTTCTCAAATAATATGCTGTGTCCAGCTATGGCTGACTTCTCTGGTTGAGTTAGTCTGCAGTAACTTTCATGTTCCTTGATTCATGTTTGGGAGTTGCGTTATTTGAGAACACAGAAATGCTGGAGCACTCTAACAACCACCATGTCAGACTACACAGAGAAGCCATTGAAATCCACAAGCATGTGGACAATTTTAACAGAAAGGAGGAAACCATGAAAATGAACAAAATCTGGCTACCAGTATTTAAAAAACTCTAAAATTGGGACATTAAATAAAGAGCAATACTCAGAAAACAGGGGAACTCCAGACAAGAAATGATCAGGGCCAGCTAAAACCTCCTAACAAAGGATTCACTCAGGCAGGAAACAGCCAGGCCTTGAAATTACAAGGCTTTGCAATGCTATTCAAGGTGATTAATTGCAACATTCAGACTTGCCTCCAACAGACAAGCGTTCTTTCTCCCACTCTGGACCTTCTACAGATTTATAAACCTCCCTTGCTTAGTTTCAGATATCCCTCACAACCTCTGAGGATGCCTGCCATAGATGTGGGTGAAACGTCAGGAGAAAATGCTTCTGGAACATGGTCATACAGCCTGGAAAAAATCGCAGCAACCCAGTGATTCTGGCCATGAAAGCCTTCGACAATACATTTCTGAAGCATCATGAGCATTACTGTAGAGAGGTAAAAGTACACTTTAGTAGTATTAATTCCCTAATGTTGTACCGTTTCTTGCTCATTCAGGGGAAAGTAAATGAAATAGGGTTGCTTCTGTCCGTTACGTTGCTGCCACTCATAATAACCTTCAGCCAGTACCACACAGCGTTTGCCTTTTACAAGAGGTCCCTTTAGAGATGGAAAGAGAGAGAAAGAAGAGCAAAAGGAGTATAAATTTATGCAAATTTAATACATTTAAAACGTATGCTGTCATGGCAAGAATTCGTAGTAGCTTATACTGGATCCTATGACATGATCTTCAAAACAATTACATTTTTCACATGAAAATTTACAAATGGAGCCTGCTGACATTCGTTTTTCACTACTATCATAAGAAGGAGGGAGAATTTAAATCACTACAGTTATACAGACTGGGACTTCATGCCCTCATAAGGATTCCTCAACATTCACTGTCATGTGAAAGGGCAATCATCATAAATGAAGAACTATGAGAATTATTTTAAACTGAAAATGACTTATTTTTAGGCTGATGGGGGTCTATCTTTGCTGGGATTGCCACAGTTCTGAATTTTTTGGAGCAGTCTATGATATTTTCATTTATTGGCTTGATCTACAACAGTAGACTTTTACAGCAAAATATATTGAAGTCTTTGTGATATGTCCCTTTAATGAGGAGGACGATCTTTAAAGACCTAGCTCTGTTGCCAGATTTTTCACTCCAGGTCAACAGGGACACTGGTCTCTCAGTGTTGCCATGTTCTCACTCTCAGTGTTTGGGTACTCAAGAGCAGAGTTAAGCAAAATATATTAGTTAAAGGCTCATCTGGACATTGGGAGAATTTTCGTAGAAAACAGAAGTACTATCAAAGAGCATACTGACTGTTATGGTGTATTCACTCATGGGACTACTTTTTCATATGCTGAAGCACCAGTTTATTTATTGTATCAGGAGTGAACCAAGGGTACAGTTGCAATACATTATATTAAATACCCTTTGACCAGTAGCTGGTCACTTGGAGTGCCTCTGATGTTAGTGCCTCAGACTGCATGTAATAGATAGTCTGTGGTACAAGCAGTCTTTGAGTTACAAACATCTGACTAACAAACGACTCAGAATTGCAAACAGGGGTGAGACAACCGGAAATGGGAGAAATCTACTCCTAGGAACGGAAATTCACTCCTGAAACAGTTATCATGGGGAAAAGGTGTCTCAACTGAAGCTTTTTCACCAATTCTTGTTTCCACAACAAGCCAATTTTTCAAAATCCAATGATCACAGTGAGGTGAAATCTTCTGAACAGAGGCACAGACAGCAAAGCAAATGTCACAGGGGTGTTATCCAAAGTGCACATATCATATATACTTGAATATAAGCCGATCCCAATATAAGCCGAGACACCTAATTTTACCACAAAGAACTGGGAAATGTATTGACTCGAGTATAAGCCGAGGGTGGGAAATGCAGCGGCTATTGGTAAATTTCAAAATAAAAATCAGATACCAATAAAATTAAATTAATTGAGGAATCAGTAGGGTTAAATGTTTTTGAATATTTACATAAAACTGTAATTTAAGATAAGACTGTCGAACTCTGATTAAACCATTATTCTAACCTCCATCAATGTAAATGTGCTTATGCATCCTTCTAATAATAACTAAAAGATTAAATAATAAATGTAATAATAATAATAATAATAGAGTAACATATTGAAAATGTAATAATAACAGTAATAACAGAGTAAAATAATAAATGTGATAATAATAATAATAGAGTAAAATAAAAAATGTAACAACAACAACAACAACAACAACGTAAAATAATAAATAACCTTGACTCGAGTATAAGCCAAGGGGGGCTTTTTCAGCTTAAAAAAAGGAGTGAAAACCTCAGCTTATATTCGAGTGTGTGTGTGTGTATATAGATAGATAGATAGATAGATAGATAGATAGATAGATAGATAGATAGGCTGGAGTTACACTTTAAAATGTACCTGTTCCAACAAATTCAACTTAAGAACAAATCTACTGAACCAATCTTGTTTGTAACTTGGGGACTGCCTGTACTTGCTAGAAAATAGTTGTTTTGACAGTTTTACCCAATTAGTCAAGAGAAGAAAAGAGATAAAAGCCCAAGAAACAGAGCTGGTTGTTACAAGTGTTCAATGTATGTGCACTCATTATTGCCACTCATTGTTTTGAGCTGCTGCTGCTGTACAACGGAAGAAAATATGATCGGATGAAAGGATAATATGATCGGATGAAAGGATATAAAAGAAGACAAGCTAGATACAAACATAAACAAAGGTCTAAAAAATAGTGAAAGAGCTGTTATTAGCCAAAAACACCTATCTGTCCAAGACAGCATAACCAGGGATTATGGAAACTGTACTCCAAAAATATCTGGTGAGTCACTATTGGCCATACATCGAAAGAAATTCAGGAAAGAGAAAATAAAGGAAATATGGTAGAAGAAACTTCACATTCAAAGAGGTTGAGATCCAAGGCAAGACGAAGCAGAGTTCACTTAAGTGGCCCAACTGCTGTGTTATTATATACTTGAGGAGGCTCTTCCATTCTGTTAGAAGAAATTATTTGCTGTTGGTAGAAATAAGGTAAGGATTAACTATCTAGTCTGACCTTTTGTGTTCTTAGCACAACGCTATGTAGGGCAGAAAGGAGAGGACAGTTATTTTTCTATGAAGAAAAGAGTAAGAATGCCTTTGAGTGATGTTTCATGGGCCGCCACTCGGACTATTGTGCTTCTAAATGCCTTCCACACAGCCAGTGCTATTTGTGTTTAATCTAACCTGCACAGAGACCAGGCAGCAGGTTATCTTAAAGCCACGCTGTCAAGTGCACCATGTGAAATACTATCACCTGCTGGGCTCTTCCCTTTCAGGAAAATCAAGAGGCTGGGTTCACAGCATGCTGTTCAAATTATTTACATTCGGTGCAGCAGGACAACTGTTACTGATGCCTCTGTGAAAAAGCATCCATTTTTTGCGTCTTTCAAAAGACATGAATGGCATGGCAGAGAAGAAGCAAGAATCATTAACATATTTATTGCAAAAAAGAAGAACTAACCTTATAGGAGAGTTTCTGCATCATGGTATCACTACGACAATTGGAAGTGTTGTACTGCATTTTAGATGGGTCAGCTTCCTTGAACCAGGTTGGAACCAGCCCCCAACGCATGGCCATCAGAATCCGCTCAGAAGATCCAGCGTCCTTTTATAAATCAAAAAGAGAAAGAAACCTTGAGGGAACGTATCCACAGACACATCTAAAGACTAAAAAATGCATGTATTTGCAGAGCTGTGGGGAGAGCCCAGAGACTTTTAAAACACAAAAAAATCCTACTGCTGAAACAACAAAATACAGAAGGGGCTGATTCAGGGAGTTTCTGGATTTCTAAATTGGCAGGGTTTTTATCTTTCAAAAACTGAACACACAAGCCACAGCTGTTCTGCTAAAGTGCTTCTTGCACCTATTTGTATATGGAGCTGCCTCTCCAATTAGGGATATAAGCTTCTGCATGCATCTCTCAGATGGTGAAAAGCTGTATCATATTTTCACCCTGTGTTTTGCAGTGGAAATGACAGACTCGAGTTGGGTGCTCATCACAAAAAGAAACATAATTGTCTTTTTATGGAACTGGGTTTTTGTTTTTGTTTTTGTCGTGTCAGGAGCAAGTCGCTTCTGGTATGAGAGAATTGGTCGTCTGCAAGGACGTTGCCCAGGGGACGTCTGGATGATTTGATGTTTTTATCATCCTTGTGGGAGGCTTCTCTCATGTCCCCGCATGAGGAGCTGGAGCTGATAGAGGGAGCTCATTCAGTCCTGTCGGCACAGGGGTTTAACCCACTGCGCCACCGGGGGCTCCTATAGAACTGTTGATATTGATTTTTAAAAATAATTCAGTTCTGTTGGGATGAGCATCTTTCACATATAGAGATGAACTCAACATTATCTATAGCTCAGCAAGTCACATTACACAATGGAACATGGAAGCAGATTACAAACAGAACAGTGAAAGTCCTATTGATAATAATAACAACAACTGGAAATTAACTGGAAAAGCTGGCACGATACAAGGATTTAAAGATCAAACTGCAAAGACTCTGGCACAAGGTGGTCCCAGTGGTGATCGGTGGCACAAGGTGGTCCCAGCGGTGATTAGCACACTGGGTGAAGTGCTTAAAGACCTTGGCCTGCACTTAAACACAACAGACGCTGACAAAATTACCACCTGTCATCTGCAAAAGGCCACACTACTAGGATCTGCACACAGTATTTGCCGATACATCACACAGTCCTAGACTGTGTCCAACATGTGTCCAACATGTGATCCAAAACAACAGCCAGCATAGTGATCTTGTTTGCTGTGTACTAATCTTGTTGTGTTTCTAATAATAATAATAATAATAATAATCGTCATCATCATCATCGTATTTGGCGCTATACTACCGGGATTCTTTAACTAGGGGAGTAGTCAGGCATGTTTTTAGTTGTTGTTCTCTGTGCTCATACTTGCACATACCTGTCCTTGAATATTCTTCTAACTGAACAAAACATTTATGCATGTTTGCTAAGATGCACATTGTTTTTGCCAAAGTTCAGGCAAATCTACTTTCACTTCTTATAGCAGTCTATAGGAAACACCATAATGTTTATGGACTGGAACAAAGTGTAATATAATCTGACATGTTGCCATAAGAATGTGAATGTATATTATTGTTGTTTTCAACTGTTTCTTTTATGATGTTTTATACTTATCATAAATGTATTTGGATTGTTGTTTACATGATTTTAATATGTTGCAAGTCACTTTGGATCCTGTGAGGGAGAAAAACAGATATAAATAACAACAACAACAACAATAAATGGGGGTTAGTACAATTATGACTATCAATTAAGCTTTATTTGAAAAATTAGGGAAGAAGAATTGCTGTCCTTGCAGAAATTGCTGGACTGCTACCCCCATCATTTCTCTTCACTAACTATTCTTGTTAGGGATTATGGGAATCATAGTCCAGCATATGGAGGGCCCTGCATTTCCTACCCCTGCAATAAAAATCTACCAGGAAGTAAGCTCCACATTAGACTTGCATATAATTGTAGAGTTAAATCTTAAGTAATTCCTTCATATGTATTTTCCTGGAAGTAAGACACAACAATATAGTGGGACTTGAACTACACTTAGATGTGTAAACATGGATTGCACGATAAGAACTGCTCATTTCTAAGTATAGCTCCTACTGTTTATGAGTCATTTCTTCCCGTTTTCACAGTTGAGACAATTGAAACAGACCAAGGGGTTTCACTTCTTCTTTTTGCCAAGGTTCAGGCAAATCTACTTTCACTGCTACTTCTTGAGTGACAATTATAAGTCAGTTTTCAAAAAGTTAAAAACAAGTGCTGAAATAGTGTTATTGCCCTGAAACACTGCAACACACATGCATCTCTAAACACTGGAAATACAGTATTATGTTTCTAATTCAATTGCAAAGTGATATATGCCTTATTCAAAAGTAGTGGTAAGAAGTATTGAAACTAGCTCATTAGCAATTGTAGTGTAGACAAGCTACTTTGAAGTCTCAGCTAGAGAACATCATGTCTTACTCTTATCATCTGACCATATGCGATAATGTAGCATAAATAATGTTTAACATACATGCTGAAAGACAAGTACTGTATTTATTTATTTATTTATTTATTTGGAGTGCTTCTACCCCGCTCTTCTCAACCCCCTAGGGGGGACTCAGGGCAGCTTACAAAAGGCACAATTCGATGCCCGACAGTTCACAAAATACAATATACAAAATACAATATAACAACAACAGTTATAACTAGTTAAAACAGTCAAATTAGGCAGGTATTGAGGGGCCACTCACTCACTCCTTTCTCCCTTCAGAGACCTTTTCTGAACACTTATCTTTCCTTTCAGACTGTCACATATTATTCTTTGTCTCCATTGCCTACAGCAGTGGTTCTCAACCTTCTTAATGCCGTGATTCCTTAATACAGTTCCTCAAATTATTTTTGTTGCTACTTCATAACTGTAATTTTGTGTTGTCAAAGGCTTTCATGGCTGGAATCACTAGGTTGTTGTGTGTTTCCCAGGCTGTATGGCCATGTTCCAGAAGCATATATAATTCCCACTGCCTCCAACACTTGTCCATGTTGGACTTGACAGAAGAAAATTAGAATTCTATCATTTCTGATAAGGCACAGTTTCCTGCAATGTGAATCCATGGCTATGTATCCTAATCTCCAGAGGAGCAGAAAACATGTTTGCCCCCTTCTCAATGTGACATCCTTTCACATATTTAAACATGGCTTCCATGTCCCCTCTCAGCCTTCCTATCTCCAAGCTAAACATTCCCAACATTCGCGGATTATCCATTTGTGGCCCTAGCCAGCACACAAAATATGAATGCGACACCACAAAATAGAAAAGTATCTCAGTGAACAATTATTTTAAGTGCTACACAACATCAAATTAACACATAATTTGAAGGTTCACCTTCTCCAAGTGCTTTCGGGAGAGGAGCACTGGGTTGTTAGACTGTGGGCTCTTGTTGTAAGATGGTTCATACTGGTCAGCATTTTTCCATTCAGGATGCCTTCTCCTCCCTTGGGTATCACGGTATGCACAGGCACGGCGGATACGATCTGCTCCCAGTGAAACGGCTGTACGGCCACACATCCTTCACCAGCGGCCTATGCATTCAAATCAGTGGCCTACAGGTCTGTCTTGGATCCCAATTCTAGAAACAAATAGACAGAAGGAAGCCTTCAACTTGTGGCTTTAAAGTCAGAACACTCCTGAGTTGGCTGTATCCAATGTAATTTAATTCAAGGTACATGTTCTCTTCACAGCCCTCCCAGGGTGACTGGCAAATAGGTAATAAGACTAAAGGAAAATTTCTCCCATTATAACCAAATGCATTTCAGAAGTATGTACAGAACCGTCCTTGAGTTACAAACATTCAACGTATAAATGATTCATAGTTAAGAACTGGGGGGAGACAACAGGAAGTGAGATAAATCTACCCCTAGGAAGGGAAATTCATTCATAGAAGAGTTATTATCATGGGGAAAAGGTGTCTCTGCTGAAGCTTTTTCACCAATTCTTGTTTCCACAGCAAGCCATTTTTTTCAAAATCCAATAATCACAGGAACGGAAAGTGAGGAATCTTCTGAACAAGGGCACAGACAGCAAAAGAAGGACCACAGGGGTGTTAAGCCTTCCCTATGATATCCAATGTTAGCTATATATGTGTATGTGTATGTATGTATGTGTGTGTATATATGGCTGGAGTTACACATAAAATGTACCTGTTCCGACATACATACAAATTAAGCTCAAGGACAAACCTTTGAAATCCACAAGATTGTGGACAAGGAAGAAACCATGAAAATGAACAAAATCTGGCTACCACTATTTAAAAAAACTCTAAAATCAGGACAGTAAATAAAGAACAAAACTCAGAAAACAGGAGAATTCCAGACAGGAAACAATCAGAGCCAACTAGCACCTCCCAAAAAAGGGTTCCCACAGGCAGTAAGTAGCCAGACCTTGAAGCTGCAAGGCTATTCAATGCTAATCAAGGTGGCCAACTGCAACATTCACACTTGCCTTACAAACAGAAAAGAGTTCTTTCTCCCACCCTGGACAGTCCACAGATATATAAACCTCACTTGCCTGGTTTTCAACAGACCTCGCAACCTCTAAACGTGCCTGCAATATATGCAGGCAAAACGTTAGGAAAGAATGCTTCTGGAACATAGCTATAGAGCCCGGAAAACTCACAGGAACCCAGATCCTATCTTGCTTGTAACTTGGGGACGGCCTGTACTCAGAAGCAAGCTTCTGAAGATCAGTATTGATTAGACAAACTACATCAGGCATCCTCAAACTGCGGCACTCCAGCTCTTTAAGCCTCCAAGTCCCAGAATTCCTGGCCAATGAACAAACTGGCAAAGGCTTCTGGGAGTTGGAGGCCAAACAGATGGAGGGCCGCAGTTTGAGGATGCCTCAACTACATGAAGGATAGAGCTGGACACCTCAAGCCTTCCAGATGCTGTTGGACTGCAACTTCCATAATGTTTAGCCAACAGTGAGAAGGGACTATGGAAGCTGCTGTCTAAAAACACACAGAATTGTACATTTAAACAATGGGTGGGGTAGAAGATCAGGGACCTTAAGACCTCAAGGATATTAATAAGGCTGAAACCCCGCCATTACCCACAGTGGATTTCTGCCTAAGGGAAGGTCACCATCCCAGACTGGCAAGGTATTTTCTCCTCACATACAATCAGATCAATTATTCACAGCAAACTCCTTTTGTCCTATAACAATTCTTTGGTCAAGTTTTCTCTGGAGGCCTTTCTGACACATCCACCCCAGTGCCTTGCCAGCACAAATGTCTTACCCTGTGCAAGAGAGAACTATCCTTCAATGAATCGACGTCGGCCTGGCTATGGAAAGCCACTGGGTGCCCTTGGGCATGTCACTCTCTCTCAGCCTCAGGAGGCCAACCTTTTCTGAACTAACCTCGTTAAGTACGGTGATAGCATTGCCTTAGACAGGCATGGGCCAACTTCTGCTCTCTCCCCAGGTGTTTTGGACTTCAACTCCCACCATTCCTCACTGCCTTAGGCCCCTTCCTTTTTCCTTCTCAGCCACTTAAGAATGTTAGAATGTTGAGGTTGGCCAATCAGAAGCCATATGCAAATTAGTAGGTCTACATAGCTCATGCATAGGCCAATTTGGGCCCTTCAGCTGTTTTGGACTTCAACTCCCACCATTCCTCACAGCCTCAGGCCCTTTCCTTTTCCCCCTCAGCCGTTTAAGCGAAGGGGCCCGAGGCTGTGAGGAATGGTGGGAGTTGAAGTCCAAAACACCTGAAGGGGTCAAATTGGGCCAGGCCTGGCCTTCGAGGTACCATAGGCTGGAAACTATAATGCACTTTGGTATCTCTTTGACTGTCATGGCTCCAGGAATCCTGGGAGTTGTAGTCTGGTGAGGCACCAGTCCTCTGTGGCAGGGAAGACAAAAGGCCTTGGAAAACTACAACTCCTTCAACACAACCCTAACGAGGGGAGGTAGTGTCAGTAACTCAATTGCCGCAAGAGGTCCTCGCCCCAAATAAAGTGACCCAGAAAGAAGGCGCAGGTAGGGAGGGAGGCAGGGAGGCCTACCTCTCTCTCGGAGCCTCTCAGGCCGCCCGCTCGCCTAAGACTGAGCGCCTCTGATGCTGCTCTCAGTCCCGCCTCTTGGCCCCGCTGGTGGTCCCTCCTCCTCCTCCTCCGCCTCTCGGCTTTCAAAAGCGCCGCCTCGGAAGTGGAGGAAGGTGCCCGCCTCTCCCAAAGGCTTCTTCCCCTAAAGCGCCTCTTCTCCCCATTTCGGTGCCCCCCAAAAATGGAGGATCGCAGGGTTGGAGCCCCCCTCTTCCAACCCTCTCCGGTCCAACCCCATTCTGCTACAATCAAAACACTCTCTGCAGGTGGCCAGCCAATGTCTTGAAGCTGCTATTCTGGCAAGGCACTGAGAAGACCAGGCTTATAAAATGGGAGTAGAATCATATAGTTGGAAGAGACCACATGGGCCATCTAGTCCAACTCCTTGCCATGCAGGAAAAACACAATCAAAGCAGCCCCGACAGATGGTCATCTGTTTAAAAGCTTCCAAAGAAGGATCATAGAATCCTTGAGTTGGAAGAGACCTCATGGGCCATCCAGTCCAACCCCCTGGCAAGAATCGGGAAAAATCACCTTAAAAGCACCCCTGACAGATGGCCAACCAGAAATTGCAAATGTGAATACGTTTATTCTTCCATTTTTTCCTATGACTTTTTTCCAAACTGCCCTCTGCCAAAGTTTGTTTTAATGCCATTGGACAAGCACAACATGCATCACACAGTAGAATCCTTGAATTGGAAGAGACCTGGTGGGCCATCCAGTCCAAACCTCTGCTAAGAAGCAGGAAAATCACATCCAAAGAGCCCCTGACAGATGGTCATCCAGCCTCTGCTTAAAAGCCTCCAAAGAAGGAGCCTCCACCACATTCTGGGGTAGAGAGTTCCACTGCTGAACAGCTCTCACAGTCAGGAAGTTTTTCCTAATGGAATCTCCTTTCTTGTAGTTTGAATCCATTGTTCCACCTCCTAGTCTCCAGGGCAGCAGAAAAAAAGCTTGCTCCCTCCTTCCTATGACTTTCCCTCACATATTTATACATGGCTATCATGTCTCCTCTCAACCTTCTCTTCTGCAGGCTAAACATGCCCAGCTCTTTAAACTGCTCCTCATAGAGCTTCTTCTCCAGACCTTTGAACATTTTAGTTGCCCTCCTCTGGACACATTCCAACTTAGAGTCAACATCTCCCTTCAATTGCGGTGCCCAGAATTGGACATAGTATTCCAGGTGTGGTCTGACCAAGGCAGAATAGAGGAGTAGCATGACACTTTTTAAACAGAGGGCCATGTCACAGCCCCTCAAACTGTTGGAGGGCCGGATTATAATTTGAAAAAAAAAAAAGACTTAATTCCTATGCACACTTCACATATCTTATTTGTAATGCAAAAACATTTAAAAACAATATAATAATTAAAATGAATAAACTTATTAGTTTTTCAATGGGAAGTGTGGGCCTGCTTTTGGCTGATGGGATAGGATTGCTGTTGTTGTCGTTGTTGTTGTGTGCTTTCAAGTCGTTTCAGACTTAGGTTGACCTTGAGCGAGGGCCGGGTAAATGACCTTGGAGGGCCGTATCCGGCCCCCGGGCCTTAGTTTGAGGACCCCTGATCTAGACACTATAGACTCCTTTTGATGCAGCCCAAAATCCCATTGGCTTTTTAAGCTGCTGCATCACACCGTTGGCTCATGTTTAGCTTGTTATCCACAAAGACTCCAAGATCTTTCTCACACAAATTGTTGTCAAGCCAGGCATCACCCAGCTTGTATTTTTGCATTTTATTTTTCTGCCTAAGTGTAGTATCTTACATTTGTCCTTGTTGAAATTCATTTTGTTAGTTTTGACCCAGCTCTCTAATCTGTTAAGGTCATTTTGAATCCCGATCCTGTCCTCTGGAATATTAGCTTTCCCCCCTAATTTGGTATCATAATAATAATAATAATAAATAATAATAATAATAATAATAATAATAATAATAATAGTTGTTGTTGTTGTTATTATTATTATTATTATTATTATTTCGTATCACAAAATCACAAATCGAACACTTTCCATACATCACACAGTCCTAGACGCTTGGGAAGTGTTCGACTTGGGAGTTTGTGATACGAAATCCAGCATATATATTTCATTTGCTGTGACATATTGTGTTTTTGTGTCAGTAAAATAATAATTAGAAAACAAACTTTATTTGTATACTGCTCTATCTCCCTTCAGGGGCTCAGGGCGGTTTCCAGCATGTAAGGCAAAATATTATATCCCTGCTTAAGCTACATTATTAAGATAGTTGGCAGTGAGATCTCACATTTGGCTCATAACACAATTATATTCTAAAGCAGATTATTTTCCATTTGTGTTTTGGTCCCCCGCACCTCACCCCCACCCGATTTGTGCATCTGTGAGCAGTTGCTCTGCACACTTTAAACAGAACGTTAAATAATAACTCCAAGAGGAGCACAGGCAGGCAAGCTGTCCATTAACTGAGTACAGAAAAACAATCAAGCGGGCAAATCCAGGTGATATCTTCTTGCCAGAGGCCAGCTGACTGCTGTGTAAACAGCGATGTGAGAAACAGTTTAAAAAGCAGATGGTGCAACTCAATATCCAAAATAAACTGTGGGGAGACACAAGAGAAGAAAGTGCAGAAAATATGAATTTGCTGCATACAAAATTTTTCAAAGCACAGGTTTTGTTGCTGAATGAACAGGAATAACAGGGAAATCTTTAACCATTTAACCATACATGGTACAATATTTCATATTTCTTAGGGGTTTGATATACTACCCTTTGTTTTGGATCACCCAAGGTATGAAAAAGCACCCCCCCCCCCGGCTTATTCTTGAGTCAAGGTTATTTTTTATTTTACTGTATTATTATTATTATCTCTATTATTACATTTACAATATTTATTCTATTATTACATTTAATATTTTACTCTTTATTATTATTATTACATTTATTATTTTACTCTATTAATTATTATTATTATACTTATTATTTTACTCTATTATTGTTATTATTGCATTTATTATTTTACTCCATTATTTTACTCTACTATTATTTTTATTACATTTATTATTTTATTCTCTTTATTATTATTGGAGGGATACAGAAGCACATTTACATTCAAGAAGGTTAGAATAATGGTTTAATCAGAGTTGGAAGGTCTTATCTTAAATTACAGTTTTATGTAAATATTCAAAAACATTTAACCTACTGATGCCTCAATTAATGTAATGTTATTGGTAACTGATTTTATTTTTTAAAATTTACCAGTAGCTGCCACATTTCCCACCCTTGGCTTATACTCGAGTCAATATGTTTTCCCAGTTTTTTGTGGCAAAATTAGGTGCCTTAGCTTATATTCGGGTTGGCTTGTACTAGAATATATATGGTATCTGGAATAATAGTGTGTCAGTAAAAAAAAATTTGATTGTACATTTTTGTACTTTTCTCATATCTATCTGAAGCGCATACCCTCTTGAAGTTTTGAACTGCAACTTCCATCAGTTTCTTTTGGTATTATAAAAAGTGTTGTTAGCTACCTGTGAAGGGGGCACTAGGCTTTTTTGGTTTCATCCATGATATTAGAGGGGGGTTACCATGGATTATTATGTTTTACCTATTGTTTTGTTGTTCTCTTCTCCCTACCTCTGGCTGGCTGTTAAGCATGTGTGTCAGGCCACACATACCAAAACTAGAGAACCCACACATCAAGACAAACACAATTTCACAATTAAATGGGATACCTTGTGGTCCAGCAACCGAATGCAGAAAGGGAATATTTTGGGAGAACAAGTGCAGGGTGAATGATAGAATTTCTATGGCTTGGGGTTCAACCTGGCTAAAAGGATGTGAAATAACTGAATCATGCACATACAATAATGCTACAGTATGTTTAATGACACAGCAATTGTATCAAAAGCTATGGAGAGTAGAATAAAACATAGTATTTGCCTTTATAAAATCAAGCAAAACAGTAGAGGACACCCATTCACTGCACAAAAATGCTGGCTCTTATTAAACAAGTTGCATTTAGGAAAATGAAATGATGTGATTAACAGCTATGTATACACCATTCCATTTCCCAGGAAGTGTGAAATTACCAAAAAAGCAACATATTGCACAGAAACCTAGTGACTTAAGTCTAGAAAAAATGAAATGCAAAGGTGTCTCCCTTCCTTGATCTCTTACTGCTTCTGCCAATCAATAATTTCAGATTTTTTTCCCTCTATATAATATTTTTAATGTAAAGGTTTTCCCCTGACATTAAGTCCAGTGGTGCCCGACACTGAGGGTTGGTGTTCATCTCAATTTCTAAGTCAAAGAACCGGCATTGTCTGCAGACACCTCCAATGTCATGTGGCCAGCATGAATGGAATGCCGTTACCTTCCTGCCGGAGTGGTACCTATTGATCTACTCACATTTGCATGTTTTCAAACTGCTAGGTTGGCAGAAGCTGGGCTTGACAGCGGAAGCTCACGCCACTCCCCGGATTCAAACCTGCGATCTTTCGGTCAACAAGTTTAGCAGCTCAGCAGTTTAACCCACTGCGCTACCAGAGGCTCCGATATAATATTTTTATTAAGAGTTTTTTCAATAAAATATTTAAAAATTAGAAAAAATAGGGAAATTCTATTCTGGAGAAATTATTTTTTAAATGAAAAAAAAAACTGGCAGCGAGACTACCAATATATATTGTTATACAGCATTGCTTTGTACCAAGAACTGGATTTGAAGTTTGTGGATGCCTTTTCAATGGGCAAAAGGTATCAGATGTAAAGAGCTGGAAGCAAATCCAACTGTATATGCCTATGTAGAGCAGACCAAATTGAATGAATGCAACTTTTAAATTCAAACTAACTTAAATCCCACTGATTTCAACAATTCCATTTTAGGTAGAACTAATAGTGGATATAGCCCTTATTTCAGATTCTTGAGAAAGCAAGACCACCTTTTTCATTACTGAGATAGAGGTAACATGTTTATTTTTGTAATCCATTTTGAAGGGATAAAAAAATCAAACACAAACAGAAACTTCCCCAATTGTAAAGGTTCTCACTGATCACATACTATTACCACAAAACAATGCTATGATCCTGAAGCTGTGAAGTACTTCAATTTTGTTACGACATTCTTTAAAGGAGCTTAAAGATCCTGAAAAAATGACCTATTCAGTATTTCATAAAACTGATATTATGTCTTACAAACATTATTGTGGTTTATTTAAAGCCACCAAACATTTTTTCTCCAAATTAGAAAAAGAGCAGATGCCCACATCCCAATGCTTCTCTCAGGGTCCAGAATGGTGGAAAGAGATTTCCAATAGCCTCCTTTAGCTTCAGAGTCTTAAATACAAAATCCCAGGATTTGTTTAGCCAACAGAGGCCATGATGGCATCTACGGGGATTTCTTCTCCACTTCGTGCCGTGACTTGCATCGTTACAGCGTCTGTTAGGACAAGGCGCGAGCGAACCAAGAGGTCGTGGCCACCCCGAAACACACCTGCAGGAGGTATTAAAAATGGAGAACACACTTGTGAGTCTAGAACCATTGCGGGCTTGTGTGTCTAGAACCATTTCTCCTACCCACAGAAGGAATTTAACTCATATTCCCAAGATTCTTTTTAAATGGGTGAATCAATGAGAATAAACCCATTAAAACCCATGGATGTGTTAATGGTGACTAAGAAATCTCATTAATTTTAGTGGGTCTATCGAGTTGGGGTTAAAATTGGGTTAACCCAATGCTTTTTATAATGACCATTAAACATACTCATTGAATTGTTATGACAATGGCTATGTAGCGTTATAGTTTTATCTTAATCTCCTTGTGTTCAACAAAAAAGAGGTAGATACAGTCATAATATGCAACCAGCATGGCTTTAGAGAAGTTCTTCTTATGCCAGATGTGGAGAACATTTTCTCCTATAGAAGATTTGGATTGAACTGTCTCTGTTCTTTATCACCGACTATGCTGATTGGGACTTCTGGGAGTTACAATCCAAAACAGCCCCCAAAACAAAATAGTGAGCGAACATCTCCATACAGCTGTGTCTTCTTGAGTTTTTAATCAAACAGTAGATGGGCCTTTCCAAACCCTTTCTTACTTTTCCCCAGGAAGACATTACTTTTCTGCCTTGATATCACATCTCCAATGTCATGAAATGGAAGGGGGTTAGGACATGGAGAATGGATACTATCTTTGTTTTTTAAAAATATAGGATGGATTTGTGGGAATGGCAATACACAGAGGCCCCAAAGGAAGGACAAATAATGCAAATGTTAGCCAACTTGGAACGGAATAATGGATGACAAATCTGGATCATGTTTTTGATGATGAGACGATAGTGAATAGTGAATGGTTATTGTAGTAATTGTTTATTAATTATGTAATATGATAGGTTGTTAACTGTTTTTACGCTGTAGCATTGAATTTTTGCTGTTCTTATTTGTTGTGAACCGCTGTGAGTTGCCTTCGGGCTGAGAACAGCAGTATATAAGTAAAGTAAATAAATAAATAAATAAACTTGAATCTATGGTATTCCTGTACCTACTGAACACATTTGGGTGAGGGAAAAATATTTTTTTTACAGTAATTGGGGTAGAGTGTTCAATGCTAAGAATTAAGGAGAACAGAAGCACCTGTTAAATTGGTATCACATAGACAGATTAATCTTGGCTGTGAAATTCATTTAGAAAAGGAAAATTGCAAGGGAAGTCATGATACGCTTGATTTTTAAAAATTCTTTAGAGTCTATTGTAATCCCCATAACTTTAGAGTTCAGAAGAATCAGCAGAAAGACTAACCTGCCAGATACAAGGTATGTGAGTTTTTGTTTTCAGGCACTTTATCTGATCTCTCGCAGGGCTGCATCCCCAGAAACTTCACAATATTGCTGACTGCCTCTGTGGAAATAAATATTGGGGCACAGTTTTACAGCATGTTTTGTAGATATATCAAAGTAAAATGTGCCATTTTCTTCAGTGGAATAACACATTTGCTATAATACAAACATACATGTTATTATCTCACAATGCTCTAATTCTCAAGAAATGTATAATTTGTTTGGCTTTCCTGTATCAAAAAGCAAAATAAACCCTTCTGGTTCATGTGCATTTCTCATTTCCATCAAGGACAGGGAACTATACAGTTTATGGAGCAAAATCAAGAATATAAGAGAAACTATGTAGCAATCCAAGAAAAAGTAGTTTTTAAAAGCCCAGAGGAGCTGTGCTAATGTGGAGTGTTTCCTTACCCTCTAGTGTTTTCACAGTGGATAATGTGAAAGTCTCTTCTTTTTCAAACTCGTCACCCACTTCTTCCCAGGCAGCTGCAAAATTGGGCTTCAGAACCCTTTGAATGTGATCTGCTATGGTCACCTCAATGTCTTCCAGCTAACATAGGAAAGAAATACTGACACATGATATTGTTCTTAATCAGGCATGAACACTGTGCTGGATACTTTTCTAGCCTTTAAATACTTTATCAATCTTCAGGCTATGCAGCAGAAGTGAATGCTGATAATCTTAGTAACTCTGGTGTATAAACATTAAACAAATAGCAGACATTGTCTTCATTCCAATCAGGAAGGCATTTTATCTTTAAAGTTTTGTAATCCAAAATATACATAGTTTGTACAATAGATACACAGTTCTCCTCCTTCTACTTACAGTATTCTCTTTACCCGTATCTTTAGTTATAAAGCAACATTGATTTATTTATTTACTGCATTTCTGTACCACTCTCTCTCACCCCGAGGGGGACTCAGAACGGTGTACAACATGGCAAACATTCAATGCCACCAATAAACATACAAAAGCAACATATAGCATTGCATTTACTAAAAACAATAACAAATAAATATGAATTAAAGTATTAAAGCACTATACATAAAATATTATAACATAAAACATAAAGCAGGGGTCCACAAACGTTTTACACAGAGGGCCAGGTCACAGTCCCTCAAACTGTTGGAGGGCCGGATTATAATTTGAAAAAAAAAAAAGAATGAATTCCTATGCGCGCTGCACATATCTTATTTGTAGTGTAAAAAACACTTAAAAACAATACACTAATTAAAATGAGGAACAATGTTAACAAATATAAACTTATTAGTACTTCAATGGGAAATGTGGGCGTGCTTTTGGCTGATGAGATAGGATTGTTATTGTTGTTGTGTGCTTTCAAGTCATTTCAGACTTAGATTGACCCTGAGCGAGGGCCGGGTAAATGACCTTGGAGGGCCGCATCTGGCCCCCGGGCCTTAGTTTGAGGACCCCTGACATAAAGCATATTAACATTTGATTCATAAGTTGACATAATCACATCAAAATCTTTCCTATAGGGAAGCCCACAAGCTTTATCATTGGGAAGCCTCAAATATCCCTTTACAACAGTGTTTTTGTTTTTGTTTTTTTTTACCATGGACCACTTTGACCAGGGACCACTCTCCAACATTAGTTCCAAAAGGGTTACAAATCAGTTTCTGGTCAGCTTTAGATTCAGTTTGGTTATTTGGAGTGCTGATTCAGAAAATTACATTGGACAGACCACATCACCTCTAGTTCCTGATACAGAACATATGTCATCCAGTAGTCGCCATCTGCTTGCCCACAGAAAACCATATTTTATAAGCCTCAGCACTATAAGAGGGTTTTTCAAGACAAGTTACTCTTGTTGCAATGGTGTAGTAATGGTGAGGCTGCAGATCATATTATAGTTCTTGGGGACCACTGCTGGTTGACGGACCACAGGTTGGAAACCACTGCTCTACAAGGAAGCCCACATGTTGTGATTGCTTACTTCATCTATATTCCCTTTAACCACTCACCTGCTGCATTACATCATAATCACTGCAGCCTGTTCTTTATTGCTTACAGGTCTCATTCATTACTCTGTGATTTACTCAGAAATTATGTATTGCTTAGGCACTCCTGACTTTACAATTAGCCATGAATCCGCCAGATACTTTGCCAAACTCTAACACACTGGCTCCTGCAATAGCAGTGATTATGTTCACTTTAAATTTAAAGCATCACTCTCAGTCTTGCACTGTTCACCTTCAACTTAGATCTTCACCTCAGCCATTTCCCTCTCCTGGAGAACAAGCTGTTCTATATTTCATTATCTCACTCTTTGCTCAAAATATTATGGAAGAAGCCTTGAAGCTGCCTGTGAACAAAATCCAACTGCCATTCCAGTTGTCTTCTCTGCACTGAAACGGTGGGAGGTGGGATTATTCAATAAATTGCTTTATGTATGCCCTGCCTTTTCACCAAGTTTGTCCTTTGCCTCGAGAGGCAGTTTGAGCTAACCTTTAGCTCAAACTGGCCTTTAGCAACGTGACCCAATATCATTTAAGTGCACTTCATTGTACGGATGCTGAATACAATCCATTCTTCTCATAAACAGCGATATTATTTTGGATAGCTTCTTTAACTAATACAAATGTAAGTGGATGTTACTGTGTTATGGCTAGATATTTAACAGTGACAAAACAATAAAAACCAACTTGGAAATAAGACAAAAAGTAGCCTTGACAATAAATCAGAACAGAGTTTAATTTGCATTGTCAGATTTGCTTTTCAAAATGGGAAAAACCCTTTACCTTACATGGAACAACTGAGATCGCTGGGCAGAAAACAAACCTCTGTACAGTATTATGTAAAGCAGATCAGAATTTAATGTCAAGGGTAGAGGTGAGCGCCAAAAAAGTCCCGGGCAAGAAAAATGCCCCTTCAGGTTTGATACTCCACAAAGACATTCATTCCCACAGTGCTTTAAGTTGACAGGAAATCAATGGCTCTGATAGATTCAAATGAACTCTCCAAGCATAAAAGCTGGTCCTTCACTCAGCATGCCATAGCTTATTATTACAGATTCTTTCTAGTTCTAGCCTAGCCCCAGATACTGTTGAAATTGGCCATATCTTTTCCTACTAATTACCCAGGTTACTTTCTTCTCTTAGGTCCTGGAAATGTACAGCCATAGACTCTAACTAATTTCCTGAGCCCTCTAAAATTGCACTAGCCCCGGCCCGTCCTTTTAAATTACCTTGAACAGGCAGGATTATTTTAAATATATACGTGCTATTGTGGTTTTTAATGCTTATATTGTCTTGTTAATTTTATGTTTTTGCTGTTTTCCTTGAATGTATTGATTATGTTATTGGAAACCGCTCTGAGTCCCGTCGGGGAGATAGAGCGGTATATAAATAAAGTTTGGTTCTTGTTGTTTCTTAAAGGAAGAATCTTTAGCCTAGTTGGTATGGTAACTATTTTGGGGGTGGCGAAATTGTTAGTTTTGTTGCTTAATAAAAAAAACACCCAGAACAACTGCAAACAGTCATAAAGCAGCAAAACAGTCTTTGCCAACACATTCTATCCATTAAACATATGCATTATGTAATCGGCTTACAGCAAACATCCTTGAGGGAGATGTCATGGCCTTTCAAATATACAACTGCCAAAATTCAGCTGGTTACAAGCCAGATCTCTGCATGAGCCCCTCTCACAGGAGACTACAGGCTCAACACTTCACTATCTGGACATGCTGAGACCAGACTGCTTGTTAGCACAGAATCTTTATCAAATCCATTCTTTGGCCCTCATGAAACAAGATGGCTAATGCATTTGTTATTTCAAGCCATAGCTTCCCTTAAAAAAGGAAGGAAGCATTTTGTACGTCCATAGCCTGGCCTTGCAGCATCTACCATGACACTGAACAGAGGAAGATCTGGCTCAGTGGACTTGAATAGGGCTAGAGGAGTAACCACAGGACTAGTAGAGTAAACTTCTTTCTTACCACATATTCGTCCTCGTAGCCCTCTTCTTCGGCTTCTCCCGTGTTTGGATCACAGTCCTTAACTGTGAATTTCATCATACAGCTGAAAGTACAGGCCACTGCAAAGAGAACAAAGGCGCAACCACAAATAACATCAATGCTACTAGGAGATATGCAGGTTTCATGTTTATATCTGTTTTATTATAATATGTGTATTTATGCTTGTTTTACTTTGCTGTTGGCACTGTACTGTGCTGGTTGGTAGCTGCCCTGAGCCCCTATGCAGAGGTTGAGAAAGGATGGGATACAAATGTCCTAAATAATTTAAATAAATAAATAACCCTGTCTCTGGCCCAGTGCATTTATTAATTAGAATAAATTACCAATTGTGAGGATGAAGACTGACTGCCTGCAAAGTTATGAGAGACTTTCTAGAATGACTGATTCTTCACAGATGTAAAAGTCAGATTAAAGCAACTGGCTTTTCTCTCTAGGTCAGTGGTTCTCAAACTGTGGGCCCCTGGATGTTTTGGCCTTCAACACCCAGAAATCCTAACAGCTGGTAAAGTTGTGGGAATTGTAGGAAAAAACATCTGGGGACCCACAGGTTGAGAGCCACTGCTCTAGGTACAGAACAGGCTTGGGCAAACTTTGGCTCTCCAGGTGTTTTAGACTTCCACAATTCTTAATAGCCAGTAGCTTTTAGAATTATTATCCTGAATTATAGAACTGAATGCAAAAATCAAATTCATACCAAAGGCAGTATTTACTTGGAACCTACTGAGATAGTTATGGATATGTTTCACAACTATGGTAGTGCACTGTTGAGAAGGAATGGAAATGTATTTAGAAAGGATGGAAAGATTAAAGAAACAGAAAAAAATCCTACCTGCTGTGGGGTCCTCTTCAGGCAATGCACATAATGTATAGCAAGTCCCAGGCTGGTTGTATAGCAAGCTTTTGGCGGGTATATATCCAATTACTTCATATCCTTCCGTTGGCTCCATTTGTACAGTGACATTTTCTAGGATCTGATCATTCAAGGTATTTGTGCAGTCAAACTGTGATGGAAAAATTAAGATGCATCAGCACATGAAGAGATCATTGACACTGAACTCACAGATACTGAGACATTTCATTTTTTCTGGCAGAATATTTCCCTCTCACTAATATTTTATGTTTATAATCTCACTAATATTTTATGTTGTGAAGATCTAAGGGCCCTAAGGCAGGGGTTGGGCAAAGGCTGCACGTGGCTGACTGCGCTGTTTTTGTGCCCCACTCCCCCAGTATTCCTCAGAGCTTAAAAGGATTTTAAATGTGTTTTTAAGCCCCCAAATGCCCTCAGGGGACATGGGGGCATCAGGACCATGCTTTTGGCACTTCTGGGCCATTTCAGCCCATAGAAAAGCATTTGTAGAATATAAAACAGGAAGTGATCAGGAAGCAATATCTGATTAACTACTGTTCTGAAAAAAGGATCTTCCGTGAGCATAAAATGGCCCAGAGACCCCAAAACATCATGAAAACAAAATTTCATAGGTGCTCAGGGGGCAAAAACCTCCACTTCTTTGATTTTGAGGGGACATAGTGGTGGGAATGTAGCTCTTCAAGGTCTCCAGGAGGAGCTAATCCAGCACCCTAATATTCCAGAGTTGCCTCCGCTTGATTTAAGGACTGGTTCCAGCATGATTTCTGAACAGCTCATAGGTTTAAAGATACATAGAATAAGGCCCCCTGTTTATAGAGAGATATCCAGATAAGATATTTCCTAGAGAACAGATGGATTTTGTTCCGTGAATTGGATCACTGAAGCGAAAAGTCTCCACTATTCCTAGGTAGGCTGACACTCCTCCGCACTGAACTGTAGACTGGTGCAGTTGCTAAATCAGAATCGCCACAACACTTGCTCCAGTAAAGTGGCTAATTCAGCATGATGACTTCTCATGTTACACTGTACATATTATGAGCCCACAATGGTGCAATAGGTTAAACCCTTGTCCAGCAGGACAGCGCTTCAAATCTGAGGAGAGTGGGTTGAGCTTCCTCTGTCAGCTCCAGCTCCCAATGCAGGGATACGAGAGAAGTCTCCTACAAGGATGGTACAACATCAAGACATCTGGCCATCCCCTGGGCAACATCCTTGCAGAGGTCCAATTCTCTCACGCCAGAAGCAACTTGTAATTTCTCAAGTCGCTCCTGACATGAAAAAAAACCCGTCCATATTTCTTTTCTTAAACTATACACAAGGTATATAAACAAACCATGCATCTATCAGCATTACTAACATGCCCCACAGTATATTTAATAGTTGAACTGAGAAAAAAATAGAACAAGTATCAAAAGTGGTTCTTAATACAGCGAGAAGCTACACTTACAAAAACCTACTGTACAAATGTTTAACTTTTCTTCTCATCAGGACCATGCTTTTCTCATCAGGACCATGCCAACTATCATATTCAAATGCTTGTCTATTTACTGCAGAACACATGAACTGCCAAAACTCTCACAGCTACGGCAGTGGGGCAAATGAAATCAGAGCCATTTGTTTATTTTTCACTATGAATGTGGCTCTATCTTCTTCCCTTTGCTCCTGGTATCAAACCTCACAGGAGATTCTTTATATTATGTTTTTTAAAAAAGAACACGCACCTGGAAGACTATGTGGTTGATGAAGGTGTGCTTTGTACAGTGGATCACGTACTCCGTCTCCAATTCTGTAAGGGCCACTGGCTCAGGAGAGGACTTGAACAGAGGGCCAAGACCCCGGAACTCGGGAATAGCAGCCAGTTGCTCTGAAATGCAATTGAAAGAAAGAAGAGAAAGGGACGGGTATTCATTGTCAGGGCATTATTTGGTCAAATAAATGTGAAGGGTAAAGATAAAAGTATTTCTGCCATATTCATTTTATTTGGGCTGTTCCATACAAATGCAATTCTAGGACCAGTTCTGGGCACCACAATTCAAGAAAGATATTGACAAGCTGGAACGTGTCCAGAGGAGGGTGACCAAAATGGTCAAAGATCTGGAAGCCAAGAATTCCTATGAGGAATGGTTGAAGGAGCTGGGCATGTCTGGCTTGGAGAAGAGAACATTGAGAGCACCTTGATAATCATCTATCTATACACATAATAAAACTGAAAATCTGTATGTGGCAGAGGTGTCCACTTACAAAGACAGCCTCCCACTTCCACAAACACCTATAATCCACAGTGCTGAAGAGCCACCAAAGCCCTCCCTCCAAAGACATTGCAGGTTACAGCGGGTGCCATGAACATGAAAGCCAAACCCGACCAATGTCCTCCCCAAACACCAGACTTCTCACCCTCAAGGAAGGTTTTTATTTGGGGACAATTTCATCCTAGGTGTTCTGTTTTTCCTCCAGAATGGACATCCCAGAGTTCTTACTTTTTCTATTGCTGTGGAATTTGCATGACCCCGCCCACTGCCTTTCTTTCCTACCCTTTCCTATGGCACATAGCAATCAGGAATTGATCAGCAACTGAGCAAGAGGTTTGGGAAGAATTCATCATGAGTTATAGGAGTTGTAGGTATTGGGATATTTAGTTCACCTGCAATCTAAGAACTGCACTCTGGACTCTACCAACAATAGACCTGGAGCTAACTTGGCACACAGAACCCCCATGACCAACAAAACATATGGGAGGCCTTTGGAGGGATTTGGAGGAGTTGCAGTTCACCTACATCCAGAGTACACTATGAACCAAACAAAGATGGATCTGGACCAAACTTGGCATGCATACTCAATATGCTGAAATTTGATTACTGGAGGGGTTTGGGGGGAACTGACTTTCCTTTCTGGGAGTTCTATTTCACCCACAACCAGAGAAATAGTGACCATTGATGAGGGACCAAACTTGGCACACAGAATCCCCATGACTAACTCAACCTACTGAAAGGGTTTGAGGGGACTGACTCACTATAGTGGGAGTTGTAGTTTACCCTGCAGCCAGAGAGCACACTGAACCCCACCAATGAAGTATTTAGAGCAGACTTGCCCAACATAACAAACTGTAAGTACTGATGGGAGTTTTCGGGGTTAACCTGGCATGATGTGAGTTATAGTTCACCTACAACCTTATGGATCTCGTACAGTTAAAAAAACTGACTTTCAAATAACACAGGCAATACTAGTTACCCAAGCTAGTGTTTAAATATTTGAAAGGATTCACATTGAGGAGAGGGCGAACTGGTTTTCTGCTGCTCCAGAGTCTAAGATAGGGAGCAAAGGATTTAAGCTGCAAGAAAAGAGATTCCGCCTAGCATTAGGGAAAACCTCCTGATGATAATGCTGGTCAACAGTGAAGTGTGCTGCCTTGGAGTGTGAAGGCTTTTAAATATAGGAAGGATGGTTATCTATGGGAAGCGCTGTGATTCTGTGTTCCTGCATGGCAGGGGGTTAGATTGGATCACCCTTGGATCCACTGCACCTCCGGTGGTGCAGTGGGTTAAATCTCTGTGCCGGCAGGACTGAAGAGCGACAGGTCACAGGTTCGAATCTGGGGAGAGGTGGATGTGCTCCCTCTATCAGCTCCAGCTCCTCATGCAGGGACATGAGAGAAGTCTCCCACAAGGATGATAAAAACATCAATTCATCCGGGCATCCCCTGGGCAACGTCCTTGCAGACGGTCAATTCTCTCACACCAGAAGCGACTTGCACGACAAAAAAACAAAACAAAAACAAACCCTTGGATTCCCCAAATATAGACTCTCTCTGAATCTGTATGTGAGGCATCTTTCCTTATATAGAAAACATGGTTGGAAGATTTACAGTGTTAAAACAAAGAGAATATGCCTTATGGGAATTGTAGGGCATTTCTTTCACACAGGGCCAGCACTCCCCCACAAGTACTACAAATAAGATGAATACCCAGGAAGAAAGCCAGTGTGGCTTGATGCCTAGAGTACTAGGCATGGGCCAAGTTAAAATCCTCCTCAGTCACGGTTTTGGAGTAGCTTTTGTCTGCCTGGCACCTTTCAGATGGTTCAGCTAAAATTCCCGTCACCTGAGGTGTGTATTACTTATTTCAACATAATTGCATAGCTCTAAATTGGAGAAGACTGCCTTAAAGCATGGCTGAAGGCTTGGAAGGCTGTCTCGACGTTAATTCTCTCATCTGTGAAAAATGAATATAAGAAAACTCCTTCACCAAATCTGTGTAAAGAAAAAGGAACCGATTTCAAATTTTCCAGCAACTAATAAGATATATTGAGTTGCTTCCTTTACTTGTAAGAACTGTGATGGAAATTTCAGCAGGGGTGGAATTAACACAAAACATTCCAGGTGATGGAACCGCTTGTGGGATCCCACAGCCTTAAAAAAATGGGATGCACCAGGTACAATAAGAAAAGAAAAAAGTCACTTATGTTCCAAGAGAATTGCTGTTCTCTGCAATCTGTGCCTTGGGTCTACTATCAACATCTCACCCAGCACTTTCACCTTGGGCATAGTTATTTTCCAAAATTCATGAGGGAACAGTCTCCTAAGATCAGATCTACTGAGTAATTTGACTATACCAAACATTTTACAGTCTTCAGTGGCAGCTTCAAGGACAGGTGCGAAGACACGCTTCATCAGGCAAGTAAGAATAATTTTAGTATAGCTGACTTCCCCTCTAAAGTAAACATAGGCAGCTGTTGTGTACCAGGTCTACATGAGTTTATGTCTACACTGCATAGCTGTGGCTCTTTTCATGCAGATATCTCTCCTAATTGTGCTATCAAAGATCTTCTCCAGCATTTGTAAAAAATATTCTGGAAACTGAGCAAGGGATCTTTTGCATGCTTTGTGATTAAATCTTAGATCTTCAAGAGAGGTTAGTCTGGAGCAGGATTTTGGGGGACTTTGGTCCATTCATCATAACTCAGCTTACATTATTTTACAGAAGTGTTGTGAGGATAAACTGGGCATGTATGGAGAATTCTGTGTGCCAGGGGTGCAGAAACACGGGCCCTGATGGTAAAACAGGACATTTGAGTTTCTGCTATTTTCCTTGAAACAGTGAGATGGTGGTTTCTCAGTTTGTCTAGAGCACTGCTTCTTACACTGTGGGTCCTGACCCCAAATGGGGTCCTTTAGCTCAATGTTGGAGTCCTGAAAAATCTGACAACAGTGAAAATTTTCCGAATATCACCTAATGGCAGTTTTAGACATCTGTTAGGCAGTGTTTACAGTAGATTCTTCAGAAGATGCTTCAGTTGTACTTCACAAAAAGGAAAGCCACTCTATTTAAGAAAACCTCGCAAATACTGTACATGTTTTGATTTTTATACCTGTTTATAAACCTGCATACATAAACATTTCTCAAGCCGAAAGGGGTTGTGATTGAAAAAGTTTAAGAAGCCCCAATCTAGAGATTGTGTTTCCTTCCATTCTAAACAGCTGGAATAGGTATCACAAGCCTTAGTTACTGACCAAAGGAGCTTCAAATTAAAATATACTGCATTTTTGATTGTCTGACACTCTCTGACTTCTCTCGAAAAATTTTCGAAGTGTTCTGAGACTGAAATCTGATGTATGTCACTTTGAGAGCTCTGAAAGGGTGGGTTTTAAAAACCTCAATTCTGAAGTTTCCCACAGTCTTACATACTAGAAGGGCAAGGCAGAACCCTCTGTACAAACAGATTTAATTGTTCTTAGGTAGCAGCTCTGTCTACTTAATCAAGAAAATTTCTGATGCAGAGTGCTGTGACAGATTATTCATCCCATACACCAGAGCTATTTTATTTTGTCCTAAAATACAAGACAAAAGCTTACCTTGGAAGATTTCTTGTCGTGTTGCTGCCACTTTATCTGGCTGCTTGACTGTAGATACGGGAACATTTTCTGCTGAATTGGAAGAAAAGACACAACATAAGTAGACTAACGCACAAGTTTGCAAAACTGAAAGAATATTGTGGTAATTTTTAAAGGACTCTGTCTCATTTTTGTTCTTTGTTTAGAAAAGGGCAACACTGATGGATGGAAGAAGAGAGAGGTTGGAACAAACAGCAGGTTATGCCACAGTGATGTGAGACTAGGGCCTATTCCACACAGTTTATAAAATCCCACATTATCTGCTTTGAACTGGGTTATATGCAGTGTGGACTCAGATAACCCAGTTCAAAGCAGATATCTGCCTTGATATTCTAAGTTATATGGCTGTGTGGAAGGGCCCTAGAATGCCAAAATGTGAATAAGGTGGCTGCTTAAGGGGGGGGGGGGGGAAGAAACTTGCCCCAAACATCCCAGAGAATGAAATGTAAGGAATCCAGAACATTACAGGTATTACTGCTGACAAGACCTTATGAAACTGAATCTGGGCTATCTTGGAAAAAGAGAAAGAACAAGGCCTCCAGATGAGAAACTTTCCTTTAATTGTTTCTACCTTTACCTGTTCTTTGGTCAATGATAGGGGCAGTTGCCAAGGGAACAGACTTCATGTCAAAGGGTTTCTCAGAGGGATCCAGAGTATACTGATGCAGCGCCCTCTCCAGACCGGGGATGGACACTGTCAAGCCTGGAGAAGAGGAATGGTGAAAATTAATAAATGAATGAATTATACCCACAGGAAACTAGACAACATAAATCAGGTTGTAATTAGCTCTCTGCACCTGCTGTTCCATGTGGCATTCCCCTTGTCTTAAATCCACCCCAAATAACAAACCACATCTATTAAAACACCTGAGACTTTAGCCAGTTTAATCCCCCACTGCTTAAATAGGATGAAGATAAAGCCACAAGCAAGCCACACACCAGGAATCTCTTTATCCTGATGTGGAGACATCTATCAGCTTGTCAGATAATCATGTTTTTAATGGCACTCTGCATATTAGGGAGGAAACCAGAACTTCAGAATATCCTCTGGAAATGGCTCTACTCCCTGGAGTAGTGTAGCAGATCTGTAACAGATCTGTTACACATCTGTTCTCATTTAGGGCTCAAAAGTGTGTGTGTGTGTGTGTGTGTGTGTGTGTGTGTGTGCGGGGGTGGGGGGGCATTACCATTCATCACTACCAAAGAAGTTCACACCTAGAAATCAGAAGCAAATCCTCATTTGCTCTTCATGCCGCATTAAGCCATCTCTGATGACTTACAGGCATTTAAAAAATATGGCAATGACAATAAGCCTTTCACCCTTCTATCTGGCCAGCTGGCATTCGATCAACACTGCACCGCAACAGAGAGTGCCAGCTGCTGGGCAAGGAGGCAAATGAGGATTTTAATCTTGTTGCAACCAATTCCCAATCTTTCAGCTTTTTGGAAGAGCGTTAAATACATCTCTTCAAACTGGCTGTTTAAATTGTTTTGAGATTTTTCTGTCCATTGTGTGAGTTTCTGATAGTGGTAATGGTTGTGATTAGTGTCATAATTTTACCATCTAATTTGCTTTTTTTTAAAAAAATGTTTTTAATTAGAAATCAAGGCCAACAAGCATTTTACATGGGTGTTTAGTGGGGGAGTTTTGAGAGGGAGGCCTCGAGTTCTGCTTCAGAGCCTCCTTAAGACTACTATGGATGGAGATGTTGAAGTCTGTGATTTGTTTATTTTCTTGCTGGAAGATATGAGGAACTACATCTACAGAAAGTGCAAGTTGGTGGCTCTCTTGGAAGAGAAGTTCCAGCAATTTGAGACCTGTGACTCAACTCTTCAGCATATTAGGGAGAATGAATATTTCTTGGAGTTTGCTTTACAGCAGAAAGGTAAAGACAAGCACAGTCAGGCATGCATTTTAGACTTCGAGAAAGATGATTTCAGTAAAATTAGGGAAATATTAGGCTTGAACCTAAGAATACTAAAAGAGAAAGGAGTTCATGATGGAAAGCCGCCCTGAGCGCCCCCCCCCCCCCGGGGTTGAAAAGGGCGGGGTAAAAGTGTTCAAAATAAATAATAAATAAAGTCATTTCTTAAAAGTGACATAACTGAAGGAACAATTCCAAATACTTTTAATGAGGAAAAATGGGAGGCAGCTAAAGAAACTAGAACAAATGACAGAATGGAACGAGTTCGTAGATTTAAGTTCTTCCGGGGAGATCCTGCTCTTGGCCCCACTGGCCTCACAGATGCGGCTAGTGGGGACAAGGGTCAGGGCCTTCTTGGTGGTGGCCCCATGGCTGTGGAACTCCCTCCTGAGTGAGATCAGGTTGGCCCCCTCCCTCCTGACCTTGAGGAGACAGCTAAAGAACTGGTTGTGGAACCAAGCGTTTGGCCCATCATAGGAATATTTAAAGTTAAAGTTGAAAGTGCAATGACCCAGGGCTGTTTATGACGACGGCTATGTCTCTGTGTGATAAGTGATGTTATTTTATGTGATGTGTTTAATAATGTTTAATGTTTTATTAGGGTTTTATCGATGGCACTGAATTGTTGCTAACACTATGAACTGCCCCGAGTCCCCTTCAGGGTTGAGAAGGGCAGTATACAAATCTAGCAAATAAATAAATAAATAAATGGATGACTGTCAGCTGAGCTGCAATTTCAAAGGGGCATGTACAAGAAATGGAAAAAGGGGGAAGTCACGAAAGAGGAGTTCAAAAATGGGAGAAAGTCAGAAAAGTTAAGTATAGAATGAGTTCAAGATTGCTGGAGAGATTATAAACAATAAAAAGGGTCACTAGCTGATCTACATCATTGGAGGCAACTCTTACACAAGTATAAAATGCCTTGGGTTGAGAAAAGTTGCACTAACCAATTTCTTGCTGTAGCTCAAGCAACTCAGGGCTCTTCCTGACAGGCCCTATGTCTCAGGATCAGAGTCCAGGTTTTCTGTTTATCCCAGATTATATGGCAGTGCGGACTCATATAATCCAGTTTAAAGCAGAACACCTGGGATCAGATCCTGGGATATAGGGCCTGTCTGGAAGGCCCCCCAGAAGCTATCTTTAGAGAGGATTCAATGCAAATGCAAACCCTAAATCTGCTAATAAACCAAAAGGCAGCACCTATGATTTGTTTAACCATCAAATCTTATGAGTAAGCCTTCTTGAGACTTGTCTGTTTTGCATCATTATGTGTTTTGGCAGTGAGAGGGATTTCAGACTTTAAAAACCTCTAGATTAATTTTCCCCTCCATCTCTGTCAATTACCATTCAGAATGTAACCAGCATTGAGGGCCTTTTGCTTCTGCTCCAAGACGCTCAGGTAGAAGGTGGCCCTGTCTCTCACTTCATTGTCATCATCCATCACACACCTGGAATCAAAGCCAGAATGTTCTGTTCAGTGGGAGACACTGAGATTCTCACAGACTCATCCAGAAAATTACATTCAATCCAGATAGTTAGGAAATGTGACAATATGGATTGCCAGGATGGGTTGGCAGCATATATAATAAGCACCGAGCAGATAATTTCTGGAAGACGAACAAGTATTACGAGCTCCCAAAGATTATTTTTTGGCATTGAAAAGAGACCATTAAGAGGACAGGTATAATGTGCATTAGGTGGAAATTTTAAGTGCAGCTAAGGATAAAGGGAACCATGGTGGAGCAGCGGGTTAAACTGCTAAGCTGCAGAACTTGCTGACCAGAAGGTCAGTGGTTCGAATCCGTGGGATGGGGTGAGTTCCCTTTGTTTGCTCCAGCTTCTGCCAACCTAGCAGTTTGAAAACATGCAAATTTGAATACATCAATAGGTACCACTTTGGTGGGAAGGTAATGGTGCTCCATGCAGTCATGCTGGCCACATAACCTAGGAGGCGTCTATGGACAATGCCAGCTCTTTGGCTTAGAAGTGGAGATAAGCMCCCCCCCCCCCCACAGTTGGACTCGACTAGACTTAATGTCAAGGGGAAACCTTTACCTTTTTCTTTAAGGATAAAGAAATCAATTCTTTGAACCATGATATGACTTTTTTAGCCACCAAATTACATTGTTGGCTCATGTTTAACTTGTTGTCCACAAGGACTCCAAGCTAAAATAATAGCCCAGAACACTCAGATCAGCTCTTCAATGCCAGAAGAACACCAAGAGTTGTCTCATATACAGAGAAATATAGCAGGTTTGTGGATTGCTTGCTTGGAAAATTCAGTACTATTCCACATCATGTCAGAGTTCTGTTGTCTATATTATTCAGAGGCCCTTCTCGTTTCATGCAGCACCAGCAATCATGATCAAAACCAGTTTAGATTGTGCACTTGGCTTGGTTTCATTCAGGGATATCCCTACTGCAAAACAGACCTTCTTTTCCAAGGGAGAGCTCTGTCCTTCTGGCTCTGTGCTACAAGACTAAAGAAACACTGTTACTCAAATATTTGTGCTGGCTTTCCCAAATTATGCTAGCTCACCTCCGCAGCAACACAAGGATGCTGGGTAGCATCTCTTCATTCTGAGCTCCAAACTTGGCAAGGGCACTCACAGCACCTGCAAACAAATTGGGGGGGGGGGGGGGGGAGGAAAGGAGAGTGATCAATGACAGAGGCCATCCGGGAGGATCTTTAAGTCCCTATGTGCTTTCCCCAGCTGTTGTTTTTATGACTTCAAATTCCTCAGACCACCCTTTTTAAAATTGGTCTTGGGAACCTCCTGCACCTTAACATCAAATAATAATCCTTGCTGAAGCCCAGAACTTAACTTCTGACCATTCCCAGTTTTATACCTTAATTATTTTTTTAAAATGTTGTCAAGTTAACAGAAGGATGCCCACCTCCCAAAATCAGCAGTAATAATAATTAGGACAATAATTATTGGCAGCAGATGCAATTCCCATTATGTACATTCAGAGAGCACTCTTTCTAAATTTGCATGGTTGTACCAGAGTTGAATACTCATTTGTGCAATGGAAAACTGTTGGGTTTCATCCCTGGACTGTACAAGTCTCTTGTGTCATCAAGTCTCCAGACCTCAATGAGTAGATAGGCTAGAAATAGGATTAGGTTGAGGGATTCCTCCCCCACATTCCTATGCATGGTTACCAAAAAGGGCTTTGTCTTTCCTCCTCCTCCCTGCCACTCTCTCCTCCCCCTTTGAAGATGTAGCAATGGAGTTTCTGTGAGGGAACTTCCTTTTTAAAGGTATTTTTATTGCCTTGGGCAATCTTTTCTATTTTTCCTTCCTTTCAGTGAGGATGCACATTTTGCCTCTCTCTCTAGGCAAAATGTAGTTGCATGGATTTTTAAAAACTTTTTTACCTTTTACCTTCTTAGAATATGAAATTTAGTAAGCTATTTAGATCCATGACCTTTTCTATCTAGATTGTACTTCTTTTACTTCAATAAATATTTTTGAACCTTAAGTTCTGACACTGCAATCCTGTGCCATCCTATGGAGAGACAGCTTATCCTAGCTCACCACACGTAAGTTTTGGCTGGTTATGAAGTTTACTTCTGGTACTCTGCTATATTTATAGTGGATTCACCCCAACTGAGGATTATTTTTGAACCTAACAGCTCAAATTCCCCAACAAAGGGTTATGGGCCAAGCATGCTTCCACTGCACCACACGAAACTTTTGGGGGAATCAATGAGAGCCCTTATATGTTCTCATGAGGAAAAAACTGGCCCACCCTTTCATTAGAAATCTGTTTTGATAATCTCTTTGGCTCAAGCAAAACTCCAGTTTTAAAATTTGAATCCAAATCACCAGCGGCAAATTATTATGTGCCCAATCTGGTTTTGAAGTCAAAATTGTGGTAAAGAGCAAGAAAGAAAGAGACCGTAGTTCACTGGTAAAGCACCTGCGTTTCATGCCAAACATTCCAGGTTTGGTCTCTGGCATCTCCAGATAAAGCTGGAGAAACTCTTGGCTGAAATGCTAGAGAGAGAGATTGCAAGTCATGGTGACACCTGAGCCATACTGGCCAAAAACCTGACTCTGTCTAAGAGAAATTCTTCTGTTCCTGCGACAGAGACTTTTCTACCAGATGTACCTGCTCGAACTTCTTCATGTTCCAAAACAACCCTGTTGTAAATGAAACGGATGTATTTTGAAGGGTTGTTTGTCTTGGGTCCTTCTTGGCCCAGCAAGTGGAGAATGCGGGTGGCCAGGACAGTGAACTCGCAGTCCTCAATGAACTCGCACAGGTGGGAGAGGCCGGTTTCTTTGCTCTCAGAGTTCTCCTCAATGATGCTGATGATACATTCCACAATGGCTCTCTTGTACTCAAAGCCTCCCTAGGAAGCAAAATGCAAACAAGAAAAATGCTAAATGGAGAACAATGGCTTTTGTTTTACTGTGATTTGTGTGGGTCTGTGTGTGTATGTGGGTGTGTGTGTGGGGGGGTCGGTGGGTTCTAACAAGAATTTATCCCTTGCTTTACAAGGGAAGCAGCTTCTCCAAGTTGTGCATCGAAGAAGACATTTTCTAAACACTGGCCCGTATTTGACATTGTAGGCCTTTTCAATTTCTGTCCTGGAGCCATTAGATTGGAAGACTGTGTGGGAGGAACTTTGAAACTGGAATGTACCTGAATTAGATTGTCCTGATGAAAACGAAATTCAAAAGATTGTGTGGGAGGCAAGATAATTCTGCCTATATAGGTTTAATGTAATCAAACCCCAGGTCCTTTCTTGTGAAACAGCTGTGTAGTGATAGTTAAAAATAATGGAGGCTAGGTATTCAGTATTGAAAGACAGATGCTGCATCAGATAATTTAAAAAGAGATGAAATTTTAGGATAGTTATGGAAAAATAGCCAATGCCTGTTTGTGACCTCCCTATAGGAATGATCAAGAGTAATGGTTCTCAAACTGTGCTACGTGGGGGCCTCTGGAAACACACGGCCTGTGGAGCCCTGTTGCTGCCAGGACAGCCTATGGGACTTCTCTGCCACTGGCACAGTCTATGGGGCCTCCTGTCCCCTCCCCTGCTGCAACCTGCAAAGCCTCCCCACCATCACTTTGTGCTTTTCCTGCAAGCCAGAAGGAGGTTGGAATGTATGTGCCCTGGGTTGCTCCAACTATTGTTGTTGTTGTTGTTGTTGTTGTTGCAATTGCCGGATGGCCATCTGTTGGGGGTACTTCGACTGTGCTTTTACTGCAAGGCCAAAGCAGATTGTACTTGGTGGCCCCTGGGGTTGCTCCTATAATGATTGTTATTATTTTGATATGAAACAAGATTAGTACACAGCAAACAAGATCACTGCTTTTGTACTGGATCACATGTCAGACACTTCCTAAGTGTCTAGGGCTGTGTGATGTATCGGCAAATAATGTGTATAGATCCAAGTAGGGTGGCCTTTTGCAGCTGACAGATGATAATTTTGTCAGCATTGATTGTTTTTAAGTGCAGGCCAAGGTCTTTAGGCACTGCACCCAGTATGCCAATCACCACTGGGACCACTTTTACTGGCTTGTGCTAGAGTCTTTGCAGTTCAATCTTTAAATCCTCGTATCATGTAAGCTATTGTTGTTGTTTTTGTTGTTGTTATTATTGTTGCAAAGGCTGGATGGCCCCTGGATTCTTCCTCTGAAATACTGTTAAGCTTATGTTGGTTAAAATTGTTCTTCATTTTCAATATTGTATTGTTTTTTCTTTCTTTCTTTTTGCACTACAAACAAGATATGTGCAGTGTGAATGGGAATTTGCTTATGCTTTTTTTTCAATTAGTTCATGCAAGCATTCTCCATCCATTTGCCACTAGTCCGGCCCATCTGTCAATTTTTAAAATGCAGTGTGACCTTTGTGTCCAAAAATTTCTTGGGGCTCCATGAGAATATTTTTCTTCAAAAAGGCTCTGTGGCTCTGATCAAAAGGAATAAATAATTGACTGTGTATATAACTTCACCCTGGCAAAAATGGAAAAGACTATAGAAGAAATAACCTTGGAAAAGGGTCATTAATATATATTATGCATCAACATCCTCCAATTTGGTACTCCTCAGATAAATGTGACTACAACTCCCATCTTTCCTAATCAGCATGGCTGGTGGAGACTGCATGAGAACTCACTGCAATAGGTATAAAAAGTATGCACAGCATAAGCAGCAACACTATTTTTCTGCAGGAAATGGAAGCCAGGTTTGGTTTGTATTGACAACCATGTATTCAAAGTAGCTTAATGGCCAGACTTGAAAATGTAAATTACAGCAGCATTAAGTCTACTACTGTTTCTGCCGTTTTACTTCACAGCATAAAGACCCTAAAACAAAGCGTGGCTCAAGTGAAAAACAATGACATCCTAAACAGTTATGCTTACCTCCTCCCGGAGCATGGTGAAGAGGAAATTCATGAGGACTGCATGCTTGCGGGGATACTTTTGGCAGAGGGCATTGATAGCCTGGACCACCACGACCTGACAAACAGAATTAGGGAGGAGAACAAGAGTCCTGAACAACTGGACTTGCAACTCTCATTAACATTCTCAGCCCTTTCTATATAAATTCTTTCTATACCTTGAATTCATCTGAGATTTCAGACATGAAGGTGGAGATCTGCTTCATGAGACGGTCGATGCTGCTCTCACTGCCAGTTTTCAAGAGAGTTGTGATGGCTAGGGTGGCGATGCTGCGATTGGAATCTGTCACTAGGTTCTCCAAGTCAAGGTTACAGGCAGTCACAGCAGACGGGTGCTTCATAGCAACCTAACAGATAGGAAAGAGAAGCAAAATAATTCACTTGATGCAAGATGGGTGATCTTATAAGCCTGAATATTTATTATTACTACTATATTATTATTATTATTATTATTATTATTATTATTATTATTGGGTTGTTGTAGGTTTTTTCAGGCTATATGGCCATGGTCTAGAGGCATTCTTCTTATTGTTGTTGTTGTTGTTGTTGTTATTATTATTATTATTATTTTACTGACACAAAAACACAGTATGTCACAGCAAACGAGATCTGTATGCTGGATTTCATATCATAAAATCACAAGTGGAACACTTCGCAAGCGTCTAGGACTGTGTGATATATTTTCAAATTATGCGTGCAGATCCAAGTAAAGTGGCCTTTTGCAGTTGACAGATCATGATTTTGTCAATGTTTATTGTTTCCAAATGCCGGCTGAGATCTTTTGGCATGGCACCCAGTGTGCCGATTACCACTGGGACCACCTGTACTGGTTTATGCCAGATACTTCGCAGTTCGATTTTGAGGTTCTGATAACAGCTGAGTTTTTCCTGTTGTTTTTCCTTAATGCGACTGGCACCTGGTATGGTGACATCAATAATCCAAACCTTTATCTCTTCCACAATCGTGATGTCTGGTGTATTGTGTTCCAAAACTTTATCAGTCTGGATTCAAAAGTCCCACAGTATTTTTGCGTGTTCATTTTCCAGTAACTTTGCAGATTTATGATTCCACCAGTTCTTTACTACTGGCAGGTGGTACTAGTGACGTAAGTTCCAATGAATCATTTGGGCCACAGAGTTGTGCCTCTGTTTGTAGTCCGTCTGTGTGATTTTCTTGCAGCAGCTGAGGATATGATCAATGGTTTCATCAGCTTCCTTGCACAGTCTGTATTTTGGGTCATCAGCTGATTTTTCAATTCCGGTCCTCTTCTTCTTCTCATTATTATTATGGCGCCTCCAATGGCGCAATGGGTTAAACCCTTGTACTGGCAGGACTGCTGACTGACAGGTTGGCGGCTTAAATTCGGGGAGCGAGGTGAACTCACGTTTCAGCTCTAGCTTCCCATGCAGGGACATGAGAGAAGCCTCCCACAAGGATGGTAAAACATCAAATATCTGTGCATCCCCTGGGCAACGTCCTTGAAGATGGCCAGTTCTCTCACACCAAAAGCGACTTGCAGTTTCTCAAGTCGCTCCTCACATGAAAACTATTATTATTATTATTATTATTATTATTATTGAGATTTCTATGCCGCCTTTCTCTAGGACAGACCCAAGACTGCTTACATCACATTTAAAAATATACATACAAATAGTTAAAAAACTGTCACTAAACAAGTATTAGAGGTTCAATAATCCTTCAAAACTTTCCATATTAACGAACATTAAAAGTTACAATCAATCTAAAATTTCCCATTCTTCTGTATTCTAAGTGTCCAGTTTCAGTTAAAAACAGCTTCTTATTCTTATTCTCCCCATCTTCCTCAGCCATTTACATGCCTGGGGTGAAGACTGGGAAAGTTACTGTTTTTAGGCTATAGTTTCCAGAATGCTGCAAGCCATGCTAAGTTTTTCAAGCTCACAATTTTAGCACAATGGATCACACTGAGTATTTCTCGTTACAAAATGATGGAATATATATCTGGTCAGTGTGTCCCCCGCCTTCCTATGTCTCTCAGACGGCAGTTTCGATTCTTCAACATGGCCTCTTGAAAACAAAGTGTCTTGTTATGTTGACACACTGTCATGTGTGTGATGAGAGTTGTGGGTCTAAATATTGCCAGACAAATACCAATTTATTTATTTATTTATTTACTGCATTTGTATGCCGACTTTCTCAGCCCGAAGGCGACTCAAGGTGGCTTCCTAAGCCCAATAACACCTTTGCATTCCAAGGCTGTGCCGTTGCCACACATTATAACCCAGCCAAGTAAACCAACTAAATCAGTCATAAACTTCACAGGCCCTTCTTACCTTGTTGAGAGTTCGAACAGCTGCATAACGAAGGGCGGCTTTGGGTGAACTGCAGAACAATTGCAACACTGTAGAAAACATCAGTTTTATTAGGGACAGAACTAAATGTTTAATGTAGCAGCTGTAATAGCCTGAATAAAAGGAAGGCACTGAAAGGCAGGGGATTTGGAGAGGAGACAAATGAGTTTTCATTCATTCAGTGGAGTAGAGGAACACCCTGGTTTATTTATAAATATTTCTATATTGCCTGGAATAGACTGCTTTATGTACTGCTTTTCCTGTTGTTCCCAAGGCCATAGGTGGGGAAAACTTTAAGTGTTGTTGAAATTCATCTTCATCATCCCTAGCTTGAACAGCTAATGGTGAAGGATCATGGGATTTGCAGTCCAGCAAAATTGGAAAGCCCCCATCCCTATTCTAAACTTTCAGTTAGAGACAGCAAAATATTTGCACAAAATATCAACATATCACTGTATTGATACTGCTCTGCTGTACAGGCCACTCCAAAATATGCACCAAGGCCACAAAAGCTTGGCAATCTTACAATGAATACATCACAAGAGATTCTTCTCTTGAAATGATGATTTTTCATATTACTATCACTAAACCCAGCTAGCAGACATCAAGTCAATTGATGAGTCTCAGCAATGACAATAGGTGTTGGAATCATGCAGCCTTCCAGTGCTGTTGAACTGCAACTCCCAGCTTTCCTCATCACTTGAGTGTACTGGTGGTTAGCATTTCTGCAAGTTGCAACTTGCCAACACCCAGAGGGCTGCATGATTTCTATGCCTGAGCCTGAATTTAAGAATGAAAAAGCAAAGGACTTACCAGACACAGCAGGAGCAAGTTCTTTGGCTGTGCAGCCAGGCAAGTTAACAATGGCAGATGCAGCTTCATAGACCACCATCTCATGCTTGTTCCTTAAGCAGCTCTCAATGAAGTCAAACAAGGGACTGTCACGGCTAGGACAAAAAAAAAAAAAGAGAGGAAGAATTGTGTTCATGGATGCCAACAACATGATTTAGAAGCTGATGAGCTGATACTGACTGGTGTGTTGCACCAGGGGTGAGCCTGACATTCCACTAACAACAACAACAACAACAACAACAACAACAACAATAATACTTTATTTATATCCTGTCACCATCACCCAGAAAGGGCTCGGGATGGCTTACAAAGCACTCCAGGGTGCACACATAACATACAACCGGTAAAAATGTACAGAAGAATAAAAGAAGTCACATAAAATTATAACAACCCCTGTCAACACATCTAGCATAAGATCAAAACAATTTTAAAACAACAATAGATAAAACTATCCAACATCAATTCACAGGGGGCCAAGTGTCAGCTTCATATGGACCCATTCAGTCTACTCAAGGTCAAAGGCCTGTCTGAACATCCATGTTTTCAGGTTCATGACCTTTCAAAAGCAGTGGAACATTTGTGCATTTGGCTGCACACTACCACCCAACTCCAGTGTTCTTATTATGCCCCCCTCCCGCAGAATATTAATTGCCATGCATATCTTTCAACATCCCTTCCCCTGGTGTCATTTCCACTTGGAGGCTGTCCCACAGAATGATTTTCTGAGGTGTGGAAGCATCCTCACCCTCCTGCCTCTTCTTCTAGGAGTTTGCTGGCCACCCGGATCATCATGCAGTAGGCAAAAGGTGACTTCAAGCCATGACGCATGAACTTGTTCAGCATTTTGTTGACAGCCAAGCGGTCATTTTTGCGTATGTGATACAGCAAACCGAGAGCATGATACTGGAAGGAGCAAGCAAAGGAGGAAATGGGATTAACATCAGATTGATATCCTTGACATATAGAGACACAGCTAAAACCTTGTAGCAGCTGCCATAATACATACAATGTGGTCTTAAAGTTCTTACCTGGACCATGATATTGTCACTTGAAGCTGCTTCCTGGGCTTCATTCACCCAACGTTTCACCACATCAAAACTGGTCTTCAGAAGGTGCTGTGAAAGAAGAAAACCAGGAGGACACATCAAGAATAGGTAAACCAAGAAGGAGCCATTCACGGTAAGACAAAGATTGTGTCCAGAAAGGTTTAAAACAACCTTTATTATATGCATTGTATTACAACCAGGAATTGACAAAATTGTATTGTCGAAGGCTTTCATGGCTGGAATCACTCAGTTCTTGTGGGTTTTTTCGGGCTATATGGCCATGTTCTAGAGGCATTTCTCCTGACGTTTCGCCTGCATCTATGGCAAGCATCCTCAGAGGTGAGGTCTGCTGGAACTGGGAAAAAAGGGGTTTATATATCTGTGGGATGACCAGGGTGAGACAAAGGGCTTTTGTAAGTTGGGCTAGGTGCCCTTTGTCTCACCCTGGTCAGGAGAAATGCCTCTAGAACATGGCCATATAGCCCGAAAAAACCCACAAGAACTATTGACAGAATTGTCAAAGTCATTTTTCAAATGGATGCATTCACAGTCCCATGGACGAAAATATCTGTTTGGTTTGTCAAATAGATTTGTTCTCTATTTCATGGAATGCATGAACTGAAAGCCTACAGTTGTACAAATGGGAATTGCATTCAGCTCTAGTGCTCAATCCAAGTAGCACAGGATCTTTGGTAAATCTACTTTTAAAAACCAAAAACATGTAAATGTTACGTTGTCGGGTAATTCTCTGCTGCTGGCTGGGAGATTCTGAAACTTGTAGTTCAACAAAATAAGTTTTATCAACTCTGAAAAGAACTTGATGGAGCAAATATTTCACATATTATAAAATATTTTATAATTATAATTATAAAAATGTTAATTTATATTCTGCCCTATCTCCCCGGAGTGATCCAAGGTGGATTCCAACTTACAAAAAGGCAAACATTCAATGCCTCAATAAAACAAACAACTGCCAACATAATCCAGAAATAACCCTACATATGAAAACAACATTAGAACCTAACATCAATAAATTAAACATAACATAATCAAACAAAAATATAGAGTGCATAAAACCTGAACATAAAACATCCACATTGATTTACAGAAGCTAAACGAAGTAGACAAAGTTATATGGGTTGATTGTGTGGCCAGTGATGGTAGCTGGGCTCACATGGACTGACAGAGCCCAAATACATTAATATTTCTCAACCAAAGGTCCAGTAGTGGTCTCTCATTGTCTAATCCTCCTCCTCTCTGTAAACTAGTGAGCAACTGAAATACTTTAGAGTTACTGTATCATCCTCATCTCGCTATACATATATCACAGATTGTTCAAGACGTTTTGCTTCTGGGATCTGTAAATATGAACTTCAGACATAACCTTTAAGCCTTTTCAATTCAAAAATGTCTCTACTGTTATTACAGATGAATGGTCAGTATGAGGTAACTCAGGGACTTTCTACGGGCTTACATACCAAAGATGACACGAGGGCCGAACTGGATACACTGGACACTTTGTCAACAATTGCCTGCTTCATGTAGCGCTCAATGGCCTGCAGCATTGTAGTCTGCGGAGAAGACAAAACAAGAGACACAATTTTAGAGGGAAGAAATCTGGCAGAACTTCTGAGAAAAGCAAATAAAAGGGATCAAACATGGCAAGAAACATGGAAGGGGGAAGAGAAGGAAAGCCAAACAAGAACAAGGAAGGGAGTGTAAAGAACAAAGAATGGAAGTATACAGATACACGCTGAAGTATCTTTATTCTGATATGGACCGATTTTTTTCTAAATTTCTGGATCAAATGTTGCATATAATATCCTGAATTCATAATTCTTATTCCAAATAGAAAACCATTGGTTATGCTATTTTTTTCAAGGTTAGTAGTGAAAATCTACTGCATAAATCTCCTTTCAGGTTGTTTTTGGCAGCAACTATTTCAGAAATCTTGATAATGATTTATAACTCCTATAAATCCACTTTAAGTCTCCCTTGTGGAGAGAAAAAGGGGGGTATAAATAAACATAATAATAATAGCACAAAATATACTAAAATCACGTTCTCTATAAAAATGTGATCCTTTATTATGGCTTGTTTTGTTTCTATTGTTTATTATGGCATTGAATGTTTGCCATCTTTTGCTGGAAACTGCCCTGAGTCTCCCCGGGGAGATAGGGTGGGTTACAAATAAATTATTATTATTATTATTATTATTATTCTTTTACTGACATAAAAACACTGTATGTCACAGCAAATATCCTGGATCTGGAAACAATAAACACTGACAAAATCACAATCTGTCGACTGCAAAAGGCCACCTTACTTGGATCTGCATGCATTGTTCAAAAATACACCACACAGTCCTAGATGCTTGGGAAGTATTCGACTTGTGATTTTGTAATACGAAATCCATTATTATTATTATTATTATTATTATTATTATTATTATTATTATGTGGATTCATTTTTTATGCAAGTTTATAGTAGAGCAACATTTGTTTCAGAGAAATCTGGTTTAGAGTTTCATTCTAGTTTTTTGATAAATGTTTTATTTGATTGTAAAGTCATTTTTTGATACCGAGGTCCAATAAAATAGTAGTTCAAGATAGGTTGTGAAATGTCCAAGCCCCCCCCCCAAAAAAAACCCCATCCAAGACTGTAGTGAGAAAGAAATCCAGACAAATGGAAGCAGAAGATAAATACTTACGTCTGTTATCTGACAAAGTGCTCGCACAGCAGGACCTCTGTAATTGTCATCCTTTCCAGTCATATCTTTGGTTAAACTGGATTAAAAGGAAAGGAATAAGATTTTAGCATTGTTCATTTATACCATAGCTTTCATTCATACAAACACACAATAAGCAGTAGCAGCAAGATTTCTAAAATAATGTAAGTATCTTCTCTACATCAAGAGAAATATACTAACACTAACTCCATGGTATATTTAATTCCCCCCTTATGTAAGTATACAGAAATAAACAGGTATGAATACAGACCGGTATTGAAGAAACAGGAAATATATATTTTAGACTCCATCAACTACAGCTCTGGACAGGAAACTCTCTGCTCTGCTTTTCAGAGTGCCATCCTCAAGGCAGCAGAAATGACAGCAGAAGGGCAACTAGCACTGTTCTGAGAGGCTCCTTATATTTAACAATCTCATGGTGGGCAAGTACATCTGTATCCTTTTCATATTGGAAGCATCTGCTTTAGTTGAATTTGGCCACTGCAGTTCATAGGAGAGTTTTATTCTTTCTCTTTTCTTTTCTAAACATGAACTTTCCAAAATTTGCAAAATTTCCATAATTTCTGCGGAGTGTGAGAGTGTAGAATTCTGAATGTGAGAAAAAGTGGAAGTGGCGCATCCACCCCATGCCTGTTTATAAGATTTAAAGGATCTCACTGGAAGATACATGTGCATTTGAAAAAAGAAGCAACCGCTCAGAGGAAACCTCAGGAAAGAATCACCTGCTAGTCACAATGATGACATCCTCAGAGAGGTTGGACATCTCTTTGATGGTGAGGTAACACATTCTGCGGAGGGTTGGCTGTCATGAAGAACAAGCATAAATAATGTTAGCACACAAGGGCGCCATGGCTGCTGAAAGCCAGTGGTTACCATCACATGTTCTACTGTTGGAATGTCTTCCTTATACTGTGGGGACTGCAACTGAATAATAAGAGTGTTTTTTTCATGTCAGGAGCAACTTGAGAAAGTGCAAGTTGCTTCTGGTATGAGAGAATTGGCCATCTGCAAAGATGTTGCCCAAGGGACACCTGGATGTTTTACCATCCTGTGGGAGGCTTCTCTCATGTCCCCGCACGGGAAGCTGGAGCTGACAGAAGGGAGCTCACTCCGCTTCCTGGATTCAGACCACTGACCCTTCAGTCAGCAGTCCTAGTAATAGAATGTAACAGAACATGGTAATGCAATCAAATGAAAACGATATCTACAACCAACACTGGAAGGACAAATTGTATTTATCCAGTCTGAGCCGATTTTTAAATACAGTGTTATATATATTTTGGTAGTGTTCTATGCATGCTGACTTTCTGCATTAGCTTATGTTCTTATGTTTCATGTATTTCTAATTCTTGGTGTATTTTGTCGCATTCTGGAATTCTTTATAATTTTTTGTATTGGCTGTAGATACTTTTAAATTTCATTCTCACATTCCATTATGCTAGCATTATGTTCCTGGGTTTGTTTTTGATTGAGACAACTCCTTTTTGTTTTTGATAATATGGAAAATAAGGCATATTTCAGTCAATGAAAGAAGCATGCCAGTTCAGGTATTTCAAGGAGCAGGGCAAAGTGTTTTATCCTTCCATCTTCAAATTTGACAAAATAGTCTCCAGGCAAAACATTTTGCTGACCAAGAACTTTGAAAGGTGTTTTGTTTGGATTAGTAAAAGTAAAGGTTTCCCCTTGATATTAAGTCTAGTTGTGTCCGATTCTGGGGAGTGGTACTCATCTCCATTTCTAAGTCAAAGAGCCAGTGTTGTCCATAGATGCCTCCAAGGTCAAGTGGCCGGCATGGCTGTATGGAGCGCTGTTACCGTCCCACTGAAGTGGTACCTATTGATCTAATCACATTAGCATATTTTCAAACTGTTAGGTTGGCAGAAGCTGAGGCTAACAGAGGGAGCTCACCCTGCTTCTTGGACTCAAACTGTCATCCTTTCGGTCAGCAAGTTCAGCAGCTCAGCGGTTTAACCCGCTGTGCCACCAGGGGTTCCTAGTTTGGATTATAACCCCCCAAAACTTCCCAGCCTGCCTTCTACTCTGGAAGCTTCAGTCCGTCACCCACAAAAAGGCAAGTTTTTCAAGCTCTGTTGTTGACTAAGGCTGTACAAAAAGAACAATGCTCTCACACTCTTCCAGTGACCTAGGAAAATACGAAGTACATAAGCAGAGCACTTACATCATTGGACTGGAACAGCTTTGTCATTGCAAAGAAGGATTCAGTGGCTTCCATCACACCAAGATGCTCCCCCTGAATTGGGAATAAAAATCACCATTTGCAAGTCACTGAGCCTGAAAGCTGAAAAATATCACATTTAACAGCATTCCAGAAAGCACAGTAGCTAGTGCCACCTTCTGCAGAGCAAGGGAGTGGAGCTCATGCTGACTGCACCTTAGCTGAGAGCAAAGGCCAGGTAGGATTCGCTACTGCTCCATGAGGAATAGATTTCTGGGAGCCTTTTGATGCCAGCACACAGCTGCTGCCTGCTTCATGATCCAGCCATTCCAGAGGAGTAAAGGAAGGAGGAATATATTAACTGCAACCAAATCACAATCTGCTGCTGACAAAAATTAAGCATACCTTATCCGGAATTCAAAAATCCAAAATACTCCAAAATTGACCACAGAGGTGACTGAGTATATGTATGTATATAAGGTGTATACGAAACATAAATGAATTTCACGTTTAGTCTTGGGTCCCTTCTCCAAGATATCTATTACAAACGTATATGCCAGTACATATATTTCAAAATTTTAAAAATCTGAAATCCAAAACACTTCTGGTCCCAAACATTTCAGATCCAAGATATTCATACTTAGAACAATGCTTTATCCCTATGCAATCCCATGTGGATTCAACAAGCAGAGCAATTTGGTTTGTCTTTAGAATAACACATTGTAAATATAAAAAGGCATTCCCCCCTGTTACCTGGTTTATGAGATATAAAATCTTGGTGAGGATATGAGCACATTTTCGAGGATTTATAGGAGTCTCGTTGAACACCCGAGCCTAGGAGCAGAGAATGAGGAGTCAGGAATATGTCAAAGTGGCATTTTAAGGGGTGAGGACTAAAAAGGACTGGAATGGTGATGGCACTTACTTCCTGAAGTACTGCACTTTTTTCCAAGTGTTGGAATGGGTTGGAACCCCCACCTGAAACACAGAAACACAGGCACAAGATCCATCATTTCAGTTATGATCAGGATTTTCAGTATTGCAGAGGGAAACAGGCAAAATAAGTGCGGAAGACAGCTTTATTTTAAATTGCTCGGTTTAATAGTCCTCTAAAGCAAAGGCATCATATATAAGTAGGATTAGCGAAATCAAAATAGGAAGAGATAGAAAATACTTTGCAACTATTACAGATTTATCTCTCATGAGTACTGAACCAAATGGTGAGGAAAAGGCATTTGCTTATCAGTGAATGAAAGAAGACCCACACAATATTAGTTCAGTGTTGATCCCTGGAGAAACATCAACCACAAAAGTCTGCATAAATTGGGCCCATTTATTGGATGATAGCGATATCTCTTCCTTAGTGTGTATAGGCAACTATTTACTATGGAAGGGTATATTCCTTTGAGGTGCTCTGTACTGAGGAGTGAAAATACATCTTCCATAATTACACACTTGTCCCCTGTTCTCCATAAAGAGATTTGTCAATACAGGTTAAGCATCCCTTAGCTGTATTTCCAAAATCCCCCAAAATCTGAAATTATTCACATGAGCAGCTGAGAGGGTTGCTTTCCAATGAGCTGATGTATAAAAACATTTGTTTCATCTTAGACAACATTGTATTAAACTAACTCCAGATTATGGATTAATTGTTAATTGATGCTTCATGCACAAAATTATTTTAAAATATTGGGTATCAAAATTAACTTCAGGCTATATGTCTAAGGTAAAGGTTTCCCCTTGACATTAAGTCTAGTTGTGTCCAACTCTGGGGGTTGGTGCTCATCTTCATTTCTAAGCCAAAGAGCTGGTGTTGTCCCTAGACATTTCTAAGGTCATGTGGCTGACATGACTGCATGGAGTGTCGTTACCTTCCCGCAGGAACTGTACCTATTGATCTACTCACATTTACATATTTTCGATCTGCTAGGTTGGCAGAAACTGGGGCTAACAGTGGGAGCTCACCCTGCTGTCTGGATTCAAACTGCTGACCTTTGGATTGGAAAGTTCAGCAACTCAGCAGTTTTACCCGCTGAGCCACTGGGGGAACCCCATAAGGTGTGTATGAAATATAAATAAAATTGGTGTTTCGGAGTGTGTCCTCTCTCCAAAATATCTCATGTACATTAATTTATTTATTTCCGGTATTTCTATCCCGTTCCTCCTCAACCCCCCGAAGGGGGACTCAGGATGGCTTACATTTGGCAGCAATTTGATGCCACTACATATAACAGAGCAATATAATAACAATTAAAACAATAAATAAAACATTCATTAAAACAGTAAAAAACAGTATTAATTGCTGTATCATCATTCCAGTCAATTCCATATCCAATTCCATGTCCAAAGTGCTATCTATGTCTGTTGTCCAAAAGCCTGGTCCCAGAAACACGACTTCAATTTCTTCCTAAATGACAGGAGTATGCCAAAAACATAATAATAATAATAATAATAATAATAATAATAATAATAATAATGTCGTCGATGTCACAATCCCAGGTGACAGCAGGATTGCAGAGAAACAACAGGAAAAGCTGACACGATATGAGGATTTAAAGATCAAACTGCAAAGACTCTGGCGCAGGCCAGTCAAGGTGGTCCCAGTGGTGATCGGCACACTGGGTGCAGTGCCTAAAGACCTTGGCCTGCACTTAAACACAATTGGCGCTGACAAAATTACCATCTGCCAGCTGCAAAAGGCTACCTTACTGGGATCTGCATGCATTATTCGCCGATACATCACACAGTCCTAGACACTTGGGAAGTGTCCGACGTGTGATCCAATATAACAGGCAGCAGAGTGATCTTGTCTGCTGTGGACTCATCTTGTTGTGTTTCAAATAATAATAATAATAATAATAATAATAATAATAATAATAATATCTAAAATCCAAAATACATCTGGGGAGCATCAACGCTATGAAGTTAATGCAGTTTGACACCACTTGAACTTCCCTGGCTCAATGTTGTGGAATCATGGGAGTTGTAGTTGCCAAAGAGTACTGGTGACTCACCAAACTGCAGCTCCCAGGATTCCATAGCATTGAGCCAAGGCTGCCAAAGTGCTGTCAAACAGCATCAATTTTCCAGTGTAGATGCACCCCTGGTCCCCAGCATTACTCACCGGATTCCTCATCCTTTTTGTCGAATTTCTTCAGCATCTTGTCCCTTGGCAGAGGAGGGGTGGTGGAGGAGGAGGCAGACAACTCACCAGGAGGGAGGGAAGGGGAAAGGGCCCAAACAGAGAACAAGAGGAGGAGGAGGAGGAGGCAGCACCTGGCTCTGCCTGCAGCCCTGAAGAATTCTACTTCCTGCCCGGGCGCCACTTCCTGCCAACATGACAACCCTGACTGGGCTCAGCTTTGACAGAAAGGCGCATGCGCACGCTCCGCTGGTGAGGCCCAAAGAGGGCTTACGTGGCTGACAGTGCGAGGGCGGAGCTTAGGGAAAAGGCGCATGGCGTCATCGATCCCTCAGCCAATAGCAGCGGGGAACGCTTCGTTGGGAGGAGCCATTGGAAGACCAAGCGTAGAACGTTAAGAATAGCACCTTTCCCACCCCCCCCTTCAACCCTGGAATTGTGGGAGTTGAAGTCCAAAACATCTGGAGGGCCGAAGTTTGCCCATGCCTGGCTTATGGGGAGGTGGGCAGAGTCTGTAGGAATGTCACACTATTCAGGTTGTTTTGCCCTTTCCTTCCTTTGAAAGATAACCTCCTGCCTAACTTCCTAGATCCACCAGAATCTAGTGCTTTTAGAGTGTTTAGGCATCGGGTTGTTGTAGGTTTTTTCGGGCTATATGGTCATGATCTAGAGGCATTTTCTCCTGACGTTTCGCCTGCATCTATGACAAGCATCCTCAGAGGTAGTGAGGTCTGTTGGAACTAGGAAAAGGGGTTTATATATCTGTGGAATGACCAGGGTGAGACAAAGGACTCTTGTCTGCTGGAGCTAGGTGTGAATGTTTCAACTGACCACCTTGATTAGCATACAATGGGTTGACTGTGCCTGGAGCAAACTTTTGTTGAGAGGTAATTAGATGTCGCTACCTGCTTCCTCTCTGTTATTGTGCTGTTGCAATTTTAGAGTTTTTTTTAATACTGGTAGCTAGATTTTGTTCACTTTCATGGTTTCTTCCTTTCTGATGAAATTGTCCACATGCTTGTGTATTTCAATGGCTTCTCTGTGTAGTCTGACATGGTGATTGTGAGAGTGGTCATTCCACAGATATATAAACCCCTTTTCCTAGTTCCAACAGACCTCACTACCTCTGAGGATGCTTGCCATAGATGCAGGCGAAACATCAGGAGAAAATGCCTCTAGACCATGGCCATACAGCCCGAAAAAATCTACAACAACCCAGGGATTCCGGCCATGAAAGCCTTCGACAATATGTTAGGCATCATTTGGGAAGCCCTGTGGCATCAAATAAGATATCTCTGTATAATTTGCATTCAAAATAAGAGCTGAAAATAAACTTAATTTTGTCCTGTTTAGCAGTATGTTGGGAATAGTGTTTTTCTAAAGTGGAAGAGAAGGAAAACTTCCTTTCTAAACACCTTCCATAAAGTTAACGCCTTTTAAGGACTCCTTTTTATTGCTCAGGCAGCACAAATCATTTGAATTGTTTTTCAGGGGGGAAAATTAAGTGGAAAGGAGAAAGACATCTAAATCCTATTCATTCTGATCAATTTGCATTCTTAAGGTTGTCACCTATCTTTTTCTGGTAAGGTTTAATGTTTTCGAAAGCTTTTCTACTATGGGTTGTTGTGGGTTTTTTTGGGCTATATGGCCATGTTCTAGAGCAGGGGTCCTCAAACTTTTTAAACAGAGGGCCAGGTTACAGTCCCTCAAACTGTTGGAGGGCTGGATTATAATTTGAAAAAAGCATGAATGAATTCCTATGCACACTGCACATATCTTATTTGTAGTGCAAAAAAGAAAAACCACTTTAAAACAATACAATAATTTTAACAAATAAAAACTTATTAGTATTTCAATGGGAAGTGTGAGCCTGCTTTTGGCTGATGAGATAGGATTGTTGTTGTTGTGTGCTTTCAAGTCATTTCAGACTTAGGCTGACCCTGAGCCGAGGGCCAGGAAAATGACCTTGGAGGGCCATATTCGGCCCTCAGGCCATAGTTTGAGGACCCCTGGCCTAGAGGCATTCTCTCCTGTCGTTTCGTCTTTCTGTTGAAATACACGAATCAAGGAACATGAAAGGCACTGCAGACTACTTCAACCAGAGAAATCAGCCATAGCAGAGCACATGATGAACCAACCTGGACACAGCATTTTATTTGAGAACACAGAAATGCTGGACCACTCTCACAACCACCATGTCAGACTACACAGAGAAGCCATTGAAATACACAAACATGTGGACAATTTCAACAGAAAGGAGGAAACCATGAAAATGAACAAAATTGCACCCAGTGAGCTGATCACCACTGGGACCACCTTGACTTGCTTGTGCTAGAGTCTTTGCAGTTCGACCTTTAAATCCTCATATTATTATTGTTATTACTATTACTTGATGGACAATCTTCTTCTTCTTCTTCTTCTTCTTCTTCTTCTTCTTCTTCTTCTTCTTCTTCTTCTTCTTCTTACTTGATGGACAAAAATCCAACAAAGGCTTCCCTGTCAAATAGGTTTTACCGTGTGTATTTTGTATAATGTTTATGATGATTATGTGTTTTTAGCTATGTTGTAACCACCTCAAGTCATGAGGAGAGGAAGGTAAAAAATAAAATAATTATAATTGTGTTGCTGAAGGCTTTCATGGCCAGAATCACTGGGTTTCTGTGAGTTTTCCATGCTGTGTGGCCATGTTCACCCACATCTATGGCAGGCGTTTCACCCACATCTATGGCAGGCATCCTCAAAGGTTGTGAGGTGTGTTGAAAACTAGGCAAGAGTTCTTTCTCCCACCCTGGATATTCCACAAATATATAAACTTCACTTGCCTAGTTTCCAATGGACCTCACAACCTCTGAGGATGCCTACCATAGATATGGGTGAAATGTCAGGAGAAAATGCTTCTGGAACATGGTCATACAGCCCAGAAAACTCACAACAACCCAATAATTATAATTATTGTTTCATTCATGTAGTGTCCTTTTCTAAAGTTGTATATATAGCCACCTTAGGACTTTCCATTTGCTCTGAAAGAGGCAATACAGATTTTCTGCAGTTTCCTGACCAGTGTGGCTTGTAAACCATGGCTAGGAAAAATGTGGCCCTCCTGATGTTGTTACAGTGCCACATCCATCCTCCCGCATCACTGGCTATGATAGGTAGCACAGGTGGGAATTGGCATTCTGGAGATTGTGAATGATATTTGTCTAGATTTAAATCTTTCTGACAACACAGAAAGATCAGACTGTGATGAAAATGACATTACACTCAAGTCTGGCTAGATGACTAATTTCAAGATTTGAGGTACGCCCACACTGTAGTCTTAATGCAGCTTGACACCATTTATTTATTTACTTTATTTATATATTGTTTTTCTCATCCTTGGGGGGATTCGATGCGGTTTACAATATATTAATGTCAAATATTCAATGCCAACATCAGTAAAAAAGAGAGAGATCATAATAACTAATTACTACATAATAACTATGACTTAAATTATTAAAACAATTAAACATAAGACATAAACAAAATTTAAACATTCAGGTGAAGCATTAACATCATCCTAGTATAAATATTAAAATCACATGATCCAAAAATCGTACACCATAGCCATTCCGATTGCCATTGCACATGTTCCTTAATTATTCTTTGTATTACATTATTTTACTTGCCAAAGACTTGGTCCCACAACCATGTCTTTGTTCTCTTTCTTTAACTGCCCTGGCTCAATGCTACGGAATCCTGGGAGTTGTAGTTTGTTGAGACATCAACACTATCCAGCAAAGAAGGCTAAAGATCATGATTGTAAACTCACAACTTCCATGAACACTCATTATTGAACCATGGCATTTAAGGTGGCATCAAACTGGATTAATTCTACAGTGTAGACACACCCTTGGTCCCTGGATGTTGCTGTTTCGACACAAGGATGCCTCAGTCAATGTGGTTAGCAATCACGAATGATGTGAGAAATAACCTAACAGTATCTAGGAATCCATATTGGGAATCTTGATCTCACCGCCACAACAGAAATGAATGTGTTGATATCCTAGTCTTAACAGGTTACAGAGGCCTTCCTTAACTTGCTGTCCATGTCACTGGCCTGATTTAGGAATGATTAAAATTGTCCTTGCAACCTCTGAGGATGCCTGCCATAGATGCAGGTGAAACATCAGGAGAGAATGCTTCTAGAACATGGCCATATAGCTGAAAAAACCTACAATAACCCATTGAAATTGTCGTCTAACTTGTATGGAGGGTACCAGGTTGGGGAAGGCTAAACTATTGGATTATTAGACCCATGCAAGATCCCTGCTTTTGCATGAGTATTGGGAAATAATCTATCTTGTTTTGTTCTTTTTACTGAAATGAAACAAAAAAATATCCTAACAGTACAGAAGAGTGGCATCTTCCTGGCAACCGAGCACAAGAGAAAGCTTAGTGTGTCCCATTAACTGCCTTCCTAGAGTTATAAGTAAATACATTTACTAAAGTTTCATTACAACTACTGAGAACATATGTTCAGGAGTTTGTTAGAAAATGCTAACCAGCAGGTGGGTGAGAATATTGACTGTACGACAGAATACCCAGAAGTATGTTTCATAATTGACTTCCTTTTTAATTGTTCATAAATGTGTGGGTTGCATCAGAGGTTGAGCATCCCTTACCCAGAATTCCAAAATACTCCAAAATACTAAATTGTCCACACAGATGGCTGAGGAAGTGACACCTTTGCTTTCTGATGCTTCTGTGTACACAAACTTGTTTCATACACAAAATTAACAAAAATAATGTATTTAAATAACTTCAGGTTATGTTTATGAGGTGCATAAGAAGCATAAATGAATTTCATGTTTAGACTTGTCTCCCATCTCCAAGATAGCTATTTATATTTATGCAAATACGGGTATTTCAAAATATGGGGAAGAGGGGGGAATTCAAAATCTGAAACACTTCTGGTACCAACCATTTTGAAGAAGGGTTGCTCAGCCCCTATCATTGCTGCTGCTGTTGTATTTTTGAAATATACAATTGGTGTGCCTATGAAAACTACCTGTTGTATCCTGGGTTGAATTTACTTGTTACTTACAATGAAGAAACAAGCAAGAATCCTGTTCCAAAAACCCCACCATGCCACCCTCCTCCATACTGGGACCAAACATAAAGAAAGATGTACCGACCGTATCCATAGTTGTCTTCGAAGAACATGTTAATGCCTGTGGTGAGCTCCAGAGAGTGCGAGGAAG